GTGCCTCTAACACACAATGGTCACTTGTTCATTCATGCATTGAACATCCGCTATGTGCCAGGCACTGTTCCAGGAACTAGAGATTTAGTGGTGAGAAAGGACAGAGACCTTGCCCGCATCGAGGTTACATTCTCATAGAGGTAGGTAGACCCTAAACAAAAACTTTACAATGTCAGATAATAAGAAGATATAAAAAGTTACCAGGTGCTTGAAAGGCCTTCTGCCTTCTACCTAGACTTGTCAGAGTGTCACCTCCCGCTTCCTAACCCAGCTCAAGTTCCACTTTCCCCTCGGAGGCAGAGAACTCCTCTGAGCCCTGTCTTTCCTGAACTGTTGCCCAGAGGCTTGTAGCATGTAATTTAGCACTCAACTGCTCATAATTGCTTCCCTAATACTAATTCTGCTTCCCCAACAGACCGCAGGAGACTGTTAGCTCTGTAAGGTTATAGGATATACCTTCAATTTCAATGTATTCAGTCAGTCTCTAGCAAGAGTGCTCTTTAAAGGGAAATGAAGAGCACAGTTCAAACACGACTTTAGGTTTTTAAGCTGATTGCCAGATAACAAGAGAACTTCTTCCAGTGCTCCTGAAATCCTCTAAAATAAGAATGTAAAGTGGGAACAATAGTGTTTTTTTATTTGCTGAACTTACATCCTCCAAAGAGTCCTAGATGCGTAAGGAAATCTTTAAAACAACAAACATGCTTTAAACTGAGTAATAGCAAGATTAGAGGGAACACCAGGAGGGAAACATCCAACAAGCTCAAAGAGGGAGGAATCGGAGGACAAACAATGGTGAATTCAGGAAAATGCTTAGTCCAAAATTTAGCCCAAACAGCATTCGTTTGGGTCCCCTCACATTCTGTAGGATAAAAGCATAAACAATGCAAATGGCCATCAATAAAGGACTGGTTAAAGGAATAATGGCACCTTCATAGCATGGACTGGTCTGGGAAAAGAACAAAGTAGATAAAGCTATACCCACTGACATGAAAAGATTGGCCACTACATAGTTTAAGAAGTAAGTCTCAGAGCAATACAGATAACATAATCTTTTTCATTTAAAAACTATGTTTATATATGTGTAGAAAATGCATGTAAGGATATATACCAAATTGTTAATGATGGGTATTTCTGGGAATGGGGTTAGAGGTACTGGATTGGGGGAGATTGATAGGTGGGGGAGTTTGATAACTTATTTTTACTTTATACATTTGTGAAATGTTATATATTCTGCATTTAATTATATATACTTTATAGAATGAGCATTTATTATTTTAGTAAAATAATAAGCAACAGAAGCGGCCAGAGTGTTCATTAATCTGTCTTTTGGAGAAGACACACATGTTGTCGTAGGGAACAAGGTCATTATTAATGCCGGTCTACTCCTTGGAGAATTGTGGATACCCAGGGTGGATCCTGGATTTGCATAGGTGCCCTTGTGCACCTGTGTGGGGATTTCTGAAGAGAAATGCTAAGCATTTGTCAATGGACTGCACATGGCTATCCCCTAGGGCTGCGGTCCCCAGCCCTCCGGCGGTGGACCCGGACCAGTCTGCTGCCTGTTAAGAACCCGGCTGTACAGCAGGAGGTGGGTGTCGGGTAAGTGTGTAAGCTCCATCTCTTGTCAGGTCAGCAGGTACGTCAGATATTCATAGCAGTGTGAATCCTACTGCAAATTGCACACGTGATGGATCTAGGTCATGGCTCCTTATGAGGATCTAATGCCTGATGATCTGAGGTGGAGCTGAGGTGGTGATCCTAGCACAGGGGAGCAGCTGCAAATACAGATCATCATTAGCAGAGAAGTCTGACTGCACAATAAATGTAATGCACTTGAATCACCCTGAAAGCATCCCTCCTGCCCTCCCCCATCCATGGAAAAATTGTCTTCCGTGAAACTGGTCCCTGGTGCCAAAAATGTTGGGGACCGCTGCCCTAGGAGGCACTCCTAGGTAGAAGCATATCCAAACTAAAGACATGGCAGGGCACACAAGGAGAGAGATGAGGAGGCAGCTAGAGGCATGTTTTACAAGTTCATTTCCTTAATACAACTCGAGGATGCACTGAACAAATTCCTTGACAATTTTTTTTGTTGTATGATTGAATTCCTAGAAAAAATATATAAATACATTTTTATATACATATAATTTTTTTAAGAGATGGGGTCTTGCCCTGTTGCCTAGGCTGAAGTGCAGTGACACCATCATAGTTCATTGTAGCTTGGAACTCCTGGGCTCAAACAATCCCCCCCACCTCAGCCTCCTAAGTAGCTAGGACTACAGTCACATGCCACCATACCTGGCTAATTTTTTAAAAAATTTTTGTAGAGACAGGATCTTGCTATGTTACCCAGGCTGGTCTTGAACTCCTGGCCTCAAGCGATCCTCCTGCCTCAGCCTCCCCGAATGCCGGAATTACAGGTGTGAGCCACTGTGCCTGGCCTGGAAAACAATATTGAAGAGATGTTGAGGTCAAGAGTGTGGCTTTGGAATGTTAGAAACATTTTGAATTCTAGGTTTGCCACTTACTAGCTTTATGATCTTGAGCAAATTATGTCACCTCTCACTGTTTTCCTCCTAACTCTTCTGAGTCTCTTTTGGGGGCTCTTCCTTCTCTTTCCATCCCTGAAATGCTGGAGGTCTGCAGGCTGTCGGCCGAGTCCCTCTTCCCCCTTCCCTGCCTGTGGTTACCTCCCTTTGCCTTCTGTTCCCACAGTGTGCCCACGACATGCAAAAGTGTGGCTCAGGCCAAATCTCAGCGGCGTGCTTTGCCTGCTGCCTTAATGGGATCCCCACTGCTCACACACTAAAACCCTTCCACGTGATTCACAGGGTCCTTCAAAAACCCTAGTTCCAGTGTGCCTTCTCAATGCCATCGCTCACACCTCCCCCTCTCTCCTGTCTGCTCCAGTCGTACCACACCATTTTCCAGTTCTTTGCCTAACCGTGTTAAATGCTCTCCTAACTCTGGGCCTTCCCAACTGCTGCATCCTCAGCCTGGCTGATTTTCTTTTGAGAGAAATCTGAACTGTAGTGGGTGAACCTTGGTCTGGATTCTTCTTGTTGGGTCCTTTGAGGGTGACAGGGCCATCCTGGCACACTTGGTTCAGGTGAGTGAAGTGTCTTGTAGGTGACATCTACTCTCTTTAACTGTCAAACAAAGATGGATGAGCAGGGACTCAGCTGCCTCGGGGGACGCTACCACCTTGGTTTTCCCATCAAGCTCTGTCAGGCTCTGCAGCTTGAAGAAATGAAAGGGGAGCTGGAGAGGGACAGTTCCTAACGAGCTGTCAGCAGGGCCCCTCCGTGGGCTGGAAGCCTCCCTCCCTGTCGGCCTGCCTCAGCCCTTTGTTCCAACGCTATTAGGGCAAAATCCTTGCGTTTCTCTCAGAGAAAAAGAAGTGGCCTGGGGCTGAGGAGACACGGAGTTGTAAGTAATTTCTCTCGTTATACACTTCCAGTGCTTAATCACCATTTCAAAGAGGAAGAGCTATCACAGCATACTTGGAGAATTTTGCCCTAGACAGGATGCAGAACATGTCCTACAGCTCAATCAGCGTGCTTTTCTCACTTGCCTGCAATGGGGAGACCTGACTCTCAGCGAGGCTGTCCTCGGTGGCCTTGCGTCCCCAGTGATTTTTAGGGCTGGGCTGAGGGAGACTTTACAAAGAACTAATGTAGATATCCTTCTAACAGTGGAGTCCGCTCACCTGGGTGTGTATCTGAGGAACCAGAGAGGTTGTCAGTGTCAATGCCTAGTACAATGTTGGTTAGGGAGGGCATCTAGAGAAGTCAGAACAGCATGATTCTGGTAATCAAATTGTCAAGAAGTGACAGGTTTATTAACAAAAGTCCTAGGTCTCCTAGTGGCTTTTGTTTTGAGTAAGTATATAGATTTGTTTTATTTTTGTCAGTCACTATACTATTTATTATAAAATTATTCATTTGAGATTATAATATTAAAATAATAATTAGTTTAAATAGTCTGTTATCCAGGATTACAGATGGTATGACAGCCAACAGCCCTGGAATGTGTTTTGAATAGTTATACAAGTAATGTATGATTACATTCTTGTCATAAAATATTTAGAAATTTACACAATGGGATAGCAAAATGTCCCTTTCACTCCCATTCCTATTCCCAGGGGTAATCATTGTGAACAGTTTGGTGAGTATACTTCAGTGATATTTCCAAACATTTACAAACATATGCATATATGTATGTACTTTTTACATAAATGAGATCATAGTCACATATTGTAATGTCACTGTATTTTGTTTTGTTCTAATAGTACATATCTTAGAGATATTTCCATGGTAGTACATCTAAGTCTGCCTTATTCATCTTAATGTTAGCACAGTATTGCCATGATATGGATGTGCCCTACTTATAAAATCACTCACTAATTGGTGACATTGAAGTTGTTTCCAATATGTATGCTATTACAAACAATGCTGCAATGAGCCTTCAGGCACATACATCTTTGTACATGTATTTTGGTAGGATAGATTCCTGGAGGGAGAATCGCAGGGCCAATGGCAAATCTCAAGCCATTTTTTCCAGCCATTTTTTAGTTCCATTACCATTTCTACATTTGTTTATTACACAATGTGTCTAATTCGGCTTATCTTCTGATTCATCTCTGTAAGTGGTTCTCAACCCTGGGAGTATGTTAGATGCAACTGAGAAACTTAAAAATTATGTATGTCCAGGCTTTGGATTTTCAGAAAAATTCTTAAAATTCTAATATGCAGCAAGGATTGAGAATCATTGATCTAGACATAAAATAAAACAAAACTCTGGAGCATTTTAAGGTAGTATAACCAGTTATTATGGAAACAGTCAAATAGACAGTGATTAATCTTTAATTGTTTATTCTAAAAACATCCTGAGTAAATCAAATTATCTAGGTGAAAATAAACTGAATGTTTAATAATTGTGTAGCACTTTTATCTTTTGAAAATGCTTTCCTTTTTTTTTTTTTCACTTCTCCGAGCATCTTCAATTCAAAGCTGTGAGTAAGGTGAGCCAGGAATGATCTTATCCATTTTACAGACCAGGAAACTTCTGGAGGTAAAATGATGCTTCTTAATTTATTGTGTTTAACAAAAATCTGAGAGTCTTCTTAAAACGCAGATTCTGATTTACTAGGCCTAGGGTGGGGCCTGAGATTTTGCATTCCTAACACGCACCTAGGTGGCACTATGCCGCTCTGAGGACCACACTGATTCCTGAGCACCTAGATAAAAGGAGCGAGCACAAGACAATAGAGAACCAAATTCTATAGAAGAAACTAGATGTCACTGAAAGGATAAACACTTGGTAAAACCAAGGAGTGAAAGGCGAAGGGAATACAGGGTGGGGAAGGATGGAGGGCAAAGAGGCACTCCCTCTACATCGGCTAAGCAAGGATGCCCTTCACCCTAGCATCCCATGCTCTTAACTGGGGCACATCCTGAATGTGACATTAAAGACATCTCACGGCTGTTGCCTGTCATGCCATCCATAATTCTGGAGCCTTCCCAATATAGTTTCTTGTCTCTGACTATATATAACCTTCTCTTCTGGGGGATCCTGATCAGAGCCTGTACACCCTTTAGTGCTCATCCCACTGCCTTCTGTGCCTCAGTTACAGCCCAATGCTCCCCTAGGGAACCAGAGGCCCCAACTCTGAACTTGACGTGTCTCTTTCCATCACCTCCTTTTCTGGTTCAATGTCTTCCAGAGAAGATTTTGCAACCCAGCTCTGGACACCATGCCCATCACACAGGAAGGAGACACGGCAAGTCTTTTGGTGATGTCCACATACAGCCAATGACAGGGCTGTCCTCTTTGGGAAGTGCCAGTATTAGTTTTCTTTTCAACCTTTAAGGCTTCTAATCCTATGTATTAATAGAATAAGAATAAAACACACAAATAAATGTTTCTAATTCTCCCTTCTCTTGATATTTGTTTCTTTAACTTAAAAAAGATCTATGTTATTCATAGAGTCAATTTCTTATTTGCTTCACATTTCTAAACTGAATCACAAAGATAAAAGTGCTAGTGTCTTATGAATACAAATTAATTTTTTAAAGTAATGTTTTTGTCTTTTGGAAAAAAGAGCTAGAAAATAATAAAATAACAAAACAAAAAATTAAACATATTTTTAATAAACAGTATTTTTAATGGGCCATTTTCTCTTGAAAACATTGGCTGCCAAAGTGGAGTCCAGAAATTTAAGATTAATATGTGCAAGCTGTAGGGTCTACAAGGTGCTGCTAGAGTAGGAATTAGAAGTGGATGCTATGCCTACTGGAGGGAATGTTCTGAGGGGGAAAGAACTGGCCTCAACTAGATTAATTCCTCCCTATTATATGCTCTCATGTACATTTCCGTGAAGAATGTAGCACTTACCACGGCTGTATCTTAGTAACTTCAGTTATGCCATGATCTTATTATCTGTCTTCTCCATTAGATTATAGAATCCATGGGGACAAGTATTTTGTCTTTTTGTTCACCATGTTATTCTTAGCACCTAGTGCAATGCTGGAACATAGTAGATGGTCAATTAATATTTATGGAATGAATGAATAAATCATAAAGAAAAAGAAACACTGGTATTAAGTTATGGAATGAAGTTAAACTAAGGTTAAAACTAAAACTCAACTAAAACTGAAGCTAAAAAAAAAAAAGCAAACTCTCAAGAAGTCTACAAAGCTTAAGTATAGAGGAAAGATTCCTTTTTTTTTCTTTTCTTTCTTTTTTTTTTTTTTTTGAGACAGAGTCTCACTCTGTTGCCCAGCTAGAGTGCCGTGGCATCAGCCTAGCTCACAGCAACCTCGAACTCCTGGGCTCAAGCGATCCTCCTGCCTCAGCCTCCCAAGTAGCTGGGACTACAGGCATGTGCCACCATGCCCAGCTAATTTTTTGTATATATATTTTTAGTTGGTTGATTAATTTCTTTCTATTTTTGGTAGAGACAGGGTCTCACTCAGGCTGGTTTCGAACTCCTGACCTTGAGTGATCCGCCCGCCTTGGCCTCCCAGAGTGTTAGGATTACAGGCGTGAGCCACCGTGCCCAGCCAAGATTCCTGATTGGAAAAGGTGGAGACCCATTGCTTTAGCTATGTGAAAGATTAAAACACACACACACAACCTTATTCCTTTAAATAATTTTGACAGTCTTTTGCAATTCTTCTCTGTAAGTGCTTATGCCTCTTCCATTTCTAGAGCAAGATGTTTCTCTGTTGGGACCTTGGAACTATTGTCATGGAAATTAATATGATGTCAGAAAGCAAATACAGTGACTTCATCAGAGAAATAACCTCCCACGTTCTTTTTAAAACACAATAGTGAACCAGTCATACACTAAAAAATGGTTTTAAAAATATGCTATACCTTAAAGAGAAGTTGTGGGAATGATTTAATATCATGGCGTGATTTAATATAAAATATTCTGATCTCCCTGGGACAAAAGCACAATACAATTTCAAAAACAGCCGGGCGCTGTGGCTCACGCCTGTAATCCTAGCTCTTGGGAGGCCGAGGCGGGCGGATTGCTCAAGGTCAGGAGTTCAAAACCAGCCTGAGCAAGAGCGAGACCCCGTCTCTACTATAAATAGAAAGAAATTAATTGGCCAACTGATATATATATAAAAAAATTAGCCGGGCATGGTGGCGCATGCCTGTAGTCCCAGCTACCCGGGAGGCTGAGGCAGAAGGATCACTCGAGCCCAGGAGTTTGAGGTTGCTGTGAGCTAGGCTGATGCCACGGCACTCACTCTAGCCTGGGCAACAAAGCGAGACTCTGTCTCAAAAAAAAAACAAACAAACAACAAAAAAAAAAAAACAGTAATACCTCATTCATTCTTTCATTCAATACATTTTTACCACATGGGACAAAACATGGCACAGTGGAGCAGGGACCCTGGAACCAGACTGTGTTCATATCGCCACCACTGTCTAGCTGTGCCATCTTGGGCAAATTGTTTTATCATTTTAGCCTCAATTGCCTCATCTGTTAAATGGGATAGTAAGGCCACCTATTCAGTTGTTATACAACTTGAATTTTAGTGTTTGTAAATCACTAAGAACAGTACCTGGCATATAGTAAGTTCTATGTAAATGCTTTTAAATAAATAAACCCTATGATGTGCTAGGTAACTATCAGGAACCCACATATTCCCAGGAAAATAGTGAACTAGTGTCTACTGAACACTTACCATATATTATATTAAACACTAATCATTAGGCAGTTTTGCATCAATTCTTGTAACAACTCTGATGGAGGCATCATCCTCATTCATTTCTTCAGCCAACATTTATTGTCTGCTAGATATCAGGAGCTGTTGGGTCCTCGGATATAGCATCTCATCTTAGGATTTACATTTTCAAAATCACAATTTTATTAATAAGTGATTTTCAGTAGCTTCCTAGATTTCCAGATTAGCTCTAAACTATAGCATAGCACATTATTCTTTATTAAAAAGGAGTTTCTCATAATGTCTGAAATTTTAAGTTACTACATGTATAGTGCTTTGGAAAACTATTTTACTTTTTCCTCTGTCTATTCTACTTAATTATCACTGTTAAAAGCTATCTTAATTTTGTACTCTTGTGAAGTGCCTTTTAAACCTGTTATTTTTTCAGTAAAACTTTATTTTTTAGGTTATAAAAATACATTTGTTTGCTATTTTTCTATTAAGGCAGTGCTACAAGGCATATACCTCTGTGCCTATCTACCTTTGCAAGCTTGTATTAATTTCTTTAGGACAGATTCCTAGAGGAGAAATTGCTTGGTCAAATAGTGTATGCATTTTAATTTTGACTGATATTGCCAAAATGCACTCTAAGAGAAGGCTTTATTGATTGATACTCTCTCCAGTAGTGCATGTCAGTGCTCTTTCTCTTCAATACTATTTTTGTCAATCTGATGGGTAAAAATTGATGAAATTGGTGTGGTTTCAACTTAATAATGAGGATAATTTTTGGCATGTTTCTTGGCCATTTGTATTTATTCTTTTCTGATTGGTTTCTTTATGTTCTACACTCATTTTTCTACCAATACAATGAAGCTCTGAGTATATAATAGATGTGACTGATAAGCATGTTGCAAATATCTTCTGAGTTATCATATTTTTATTTATGGTGTCCATCCCCATACAAAGTCATATTTATTTTCTTTATGGCTTCTGAGATTGTATCATGATTAAGAAAGTCGGTTCCACCCTAATATTATGTTTCAAGAATCCTTATTATTTTCTCTGTTTTGTTTGTAACTTAAAATATTTAAATCTTATATCTATCTAGAGTTTATTTTGTGCAAAGGAGAAAACCAAATTTTTTTGATCCCAAATGAATTTGACATTCACAACAGTCACATTGACATTCACAACAGTCACAGTCAGATAATTGACAGTCACAACATAAGATCTGTGCTTGAGAAGGAGCAATGGTTTAAAAATACATATTGAGAATTAAATACAGTGATGTCACTGAGAGTGTTCCAGAACTCTCTACAGCCAAAGCAAGGTCCTTTTCTGGGACAGTATCTCTCTACACTCCAGTCCTCACACGTACCAGCTAAATAAAAATCCTACTGTGATAGCAATAGTGATTAAAAATAGTACTTTATTTTCAATAATTAACAAAAGTCAGATATCCTGAAAATCAAATACTTAGCAAAGAAGTTTATTTTTTTTTTGACATGATAGTTTCCTTCTCATAAATGTTTAATTATATGCTAGATATGAACGACTTGTGAAAGCACTTTATAGAGGCACCTTCTTTTCTGGCATCTATTTCCAGGTTTATAAAAAATGACTAATCTACAGATTAGAAAGAAAATAGGGCAGAATCTCCAAGAGGGGAGGATGAATTTAAAACAGACTGGAAGTCTTTTGATTACTGTATTTCACATATCTGTCAACGCACAGTGAAAGTCCTATATTCTTTTCTTGTTTTGTCCAATCAATAAAGAAGCTCTTTGGAAACCAGGTACCAGAGATGTGGAAAATGGTTACTAAGAATTAATTCTGGATGAAAAAGTCCTAGAGATGGGTGGCACAACAATGTATATATAGTTAACACTACTATACTGTATACTGAAAAATGGCTAAGATGGTAAAAATTATGGTTTTACAATAATTTTAAGAGTTAATTCTGCATCATAGTTTCTGTTTATAATCAACCAACAAATACCTAAATACCTTGTTGCTGTGAGGGATACCAAGATGTGTTACTGATGGTTTCAGGCCTCAAGGGACTAACTAGCAACAAGTTGAGAGAAAAAGCTAAGTACACATGAAAATTAACAATCTCAGGCAATATAATGATACTAAGTGAGGAATACAAAGTCTTACAGGCAAGAATCTTTTGGGGCTACAGTGATAGAAATATTTATTTGCTGCTTAAATGGCTTTCAAAACATTTTAATATGTATTTTTAAAATTGACCTTTTTATAAATTTAGTAGATATTATCTCCATTTAACAGATGAGGAAACAAAGGCTCAGAGGTTGTAATTTGCCCAAATTCACATGGCAGAGCTGGGATCTAGACTCAATGGCTTCCAGCTGTTATTCCTAATTAGATTTATTATACTTAAATTGGCATTGAAGATTCACTGCAAAAAGTTTTGATGGCTAGAGCAGAATTCAAATGTGCTAGGAATACTGTGATTATGTATTTGCTAAAATTGGAATTATTCTGTCCTCTCTGTCATCCTGCCAGCATCTAGTAACTCTTAATAGAAAATAAGGTTTTTTTCTTGGTATTCATTGAATAGGTAAACTCTACTCATACTGTGATAGAATGAAGAGTAGCATCCAAGTCTTTTATTTCACTGCTATTTACACACAGCCATTTAGCCTACTGCAGTCCCATGAAAAACATTCCTTACCTACCATGTCCGCCATCATTCTTTCAAGTCATAATATGTATCCTATATTTGAGATAGTGCTGATCTGACTCCGGCATGACAGAGAAAAACACTAACACAGCAGACCAAAGGCAGTGAATAAGAATTTAGAAGCAGTTATCAGGGCTAAGACTATATGAGTTACACACATTTTTAAAAACCACATCCTGCTATTTCAGTAGATTGACTTCTATCCAGAAAGTGCAGGAGCATTAAGTCTGTTCATACAATAACCCTATCTGATTACCCAGGGTCAAGCTACTGTTTATCTTTGCCAGACAGAACCCATATCCTGAGTGGGGAACTTAAAACCTTCTGTGTTTTTCACCAATTACCTGGACTGCCACTTCAAGGCAATAATCTCTGACGTTCTTTTTATATAATCACCTAAACAACAAGAAAAACACTATTTTTTTTTAAGTGTATGGTAAAAGTAAATACACAGACACAGTGGTCAGAAGCTTTGCTTTTATTTTCCTTTTCAGGAGTGCTCATTTTGCAAAAGAAGGGCGGTGCTGCCCTCTACTGCTCAATGTTGAAATGTTATTAATGCACTTCCCGGGCCAGGAGCAGTGGCTCGCTGCCTGTAATCGCAGCACTTTGCTAGACTGAGGCAGTTGGACCCCTTAAGGCCAGAAGTTTGAAACTAGTCTGAGCAAGAGCAAGATTCCCTAACTCTACAAAAAATAGGAAAATTAGCTGGGCGTGTTGGTGTGTGCCTGTAGTCCCAGCTATTTGGGAGGCTGAAGCAGTAGGACTGCTTCAGCCCAGGAGTTTGAGGTTGCAGTAAGCTACGATGATGCCACTGCGCTCTACCCCTGGTATGGAGCAAGGCCCTGTTTCAAAAAAACAAAAAACCTCCCACTTCCATATACCTGCTAGCCATGTGTACTAGATAGCATTGTTTTAAACTATCCCTGTAGGAGATGTTTAAAAGACACTATGTTCTTGGCTAACACATTGAATTTGTTTCCTTCATTATCACTTCATCTAGTTTCATCTTGTACCAAAGCATAGGATTTTAGGATATGACCCAACCAAAAAAGGGACATGATGACTTGGGGGGAAAAAAGCGTATGACATGAGTGTAGAGGTAACAGACTGTATTTGTGCTGCATTTAGGGAGAAAAGGGGAAAGGAGAGGAAATTTCTTCTGACTTCAAGGTCTGTAGCCTTCCCATTCTTCTGTCATGTGGAGTGTCCTCGTTTGCTTTTTGCTAAGGCAATCCATTTCCTTTATGTTTCCTTGACTGGAGAAGACAGTTGCCCCAGGATGTTGACAGAGTAGTAGTAGTAGAATAGTGTTTCTGAAACAGCTTTTATTCTTCAGAAAAGGATAATATAGACATACAAAGGGCTATTATTAACATATTTAAAATTTAATTAATATTAGATGTTATCTTGTTACCTTTAAATTGCTTTGAGATTTTAATTACAACATCTGTGATGATGATTATGATGATGATCCAAGTTAATATTTATTAAGTACTTAGTGTCAGGTACAATTCAAAGAGTTTTACATAAAATCATTTAATTACATTAAATCATTTAATCCTCACAGCAACCCCATGAGGTAAAACTATTATTATCCCCATGTTACAGATGAGGCATACAGAGGAAATCTAGTTCTACAGGCCATACTTTTAATCATTATGCTACACTGCTTCTTAAGTAAAGTACAAAAACTATATAGCCCAACAATTTCTAAATGGTGCCATGGAACCTATTTATATTCAACAGGTAGACAAATCATTAGTAGTTCTCAGTGCTATTGGTATATCTGCTATACAAAGGTCTCATCAGCTTCAAATAACGTTCCTGTATGTGTGGGTGCCCAGCTCAAGAACTAACATCAGACTCTGTCCACACTCAGCCTCAGTGGACATGCTCTTCTAGGAGGCAGGAAGCAAAAAGATATCCTTGCTTAGTGGCTTGGGGGAGAGTCATACAGAAGGGAGGGAGGGAGAAAATCGAGGGAGTTGAAGCAAGAAGGTATGATGCCACTAAGGCATACCCAGAAAACAAGCCAGTTCATTTGAGGGAAGAAGTTGATAAAGGATCACTTTCCTTAGCAAGAGTAAACTCATTACAGTGGGAGAACAGCACCACCTTAGGGGCTCTATGCTTACTGCCCACTATTTAGCCACACTGTGACTCACAGATCTCCACATACAGCTTTGGTTTTTAAAGAAACAGTTGTTCAGCACACAACTCAGTTTCTAAATATTAGTAATATGCTATCTTTAGTGACAGCACATCCCCAAATATAACCATTCCAAAACACTTGGTGCTTGAGTGCAAAGGGTTAATAAACTCACTTTCCTGACTTGTTCCTAAGTTTAGACCTGGGTATTCAGGGACATGATTGAGTAAAATAAGCAGGTGTGGCTTTGCTTAGACGACCATGCAGTGCCCCTGGTTGTTCTTGCCTGCTCAGTCCTGATGGCTTCAGACTTCAAGAAATCATATTCTAAAGGAATTCATTCCAGATGACACTGTTGCTGTGTGGGTTCCCAGTTGTCTTTTTCAATTTTCTTGAAAAGAAGGCAGAAGGAAGATACTAGGGAGGACACTTGAATAGAAAGTCATGAGGAAGTAAGGGGGAGGCGAGAATACCAGCCCCTTTCTCTTCTGACCCTTACTGGCCTTTCCCTGGGTACTCACTTTGTCTGGACAGTATTTAGCTCTTGAGTCTTTTGCTTGAATTATCCATTTAGCAAAGAGGCAGCGTTGAGTTGATTCTAAGTCAAAGTGTTAAAATTAGCAATGACCTGGAAAGCATCTTGTTTACTTCAAGATTGGCAGCCCATACTTACAAGGGCAGCCCACAGGGCTCAAGACAGAAGGGTATTGAACTTAAAATAATCTCCAAGAATCTCATTATTTCCCAAGAAAAAGTTTGAGACTTGGATCCCACGTAACATATAGTCTTCCCTCCCCACCCCTAGTAACTGCCCTTTCTAGTAACAAAATTCAGAACCAATATTGTGGGGACATGAAGAAAAACTGGATATGGCACTTTCTTTGTCTCTAACAGCATTGGCTTGATTATGGAGCTGCTTAGGTTGTCAATAAATATTTATTTGGTCTTAGCCAAGTTGATAGTGTTTAGGTAACCTAGGGTTGTTTTTCCCCCGGGAATGACGTACAGAGTGACCATGATGCTGTTGGCCAATGCTGTGAAGTTCACATTTTTAAATCAAATTCTGGGAGGGGTAGGCTATAGAACACCCTTCTCAGCAGTTGCCCTCTGCAGCCTCTGCTTTCAGAAGAACTGAAGTTCATTGTCATTTGACCTTCAACGTTGAACTTACAATGCTTAGAGGAAAATGTTAGTGAAACACTGTGGGCAGTTACCTTCAAAACAAGAGGTGACATTTCTGAAAAGAAGCAGATGTTACAAAAGGTTGATAGGTGTTGCATGAAGTTCTTTGGCTTGTATTTATTACTTTGAATGGACAATTCATTTTGAGATCTGTAGTATTATCCATTGAATAGAGGCTGTGATACTGTTTTCTTCTGAAACACCAAGAGAATTGACTCCTTATTCAGCCATCTGTTGAATACTTAGTAAGTGCAAAAAACTGAGGGAGACTTACACAGGGTCAGATCCCTAGCCCAAAGCAGCTTACTAGCTACAGGGGGTGTGGCAGATGGGCAATAACAACAGTTACCATTCAGGGAATGCTTATTACATGCAACTAAACACTTTATACTTTATACCATGACAACCCTGAGGGAAATAATATTATCTTCACTTTACAGAGCAGGAACAGAAAGGTTAAATAACTTACCCAAACCTGCTCAAGTTAGTAAGTGGCAGCCCGAATCTAAACCTAGGCAGTCTGGCTCCAGAGCTAGGTTCTTAACCACAAAGGCATTTAATAAAATTGTAATATTGCCAACAGGTACAGAAGCACATGAAAGAGAGACAGATTTTCACCAGAGTGAGGGTTAAGGGAAGGCTTTATGGAGGAGTTGGCATTTGCTTTATGTCTTGAAGGTCAACAGGTGTACAGGGGTGTGGGGAAGAAGGACTCTCAGGGGAAGGAACAGCCTAGAAGAGGCAGTTTGGGTACCAGAGAGCTAACGATAGTAAGTAGAGTGTCTGTGCAGAGGAAAGCTGGAAAGGGAGGCCCCGCCTATATCCTGGAGGTTCTTGAGAACTAGGCCCTCTCTGCAACGAATGGGGAGCGAAAATCTCAAACAAGAGCAGCAGAAAGGAATTCCTAGTCACCCTTTCCTGTGGAGGATACCCCGCCCCGGCCAGAGACCAAGGCAGGCAGTACACCCACATTTCCCTCCGGCGACCCGGCCGAGATGGTCAAGGTCGCCCGCGCGGGCTCTGGAGCTGCACGTCCTGGCTGAGGACTGGCGTCCCGAGGACAGACGCCAAGGATTTGGCTGCCAGCCCGAGCCGGCCAAACTGGGTCACGAACGTGCGCGCTGCGGGCCTGGCAGCAAAAACACCTGCTCAGCGGGTACACGAAGACCTGGCCTCTGGAACTCCCGCCGGCCACCTCCCCCTTGTCTCCCGCCTAGCGAAGGTCGAGGGGAGAACACCGGTCGCTTGCTCAGCTCCTCCCCTCAGCCCAGGAGCCCCCCAGGAATAACCGCCTCCGCGATAGGAGCACGCCCTGCCAATCAACCCTAGTTTCCGCCCCCACCCCTGCCGGCGTAAATGGCATTGGTTGCATCATTATCAGCCTTCAAGAAGATTCTCTTTTTGGATTGGCTAATAACATCTCCTCCCTTCGGCCCTTTCTTTGTCAGAGGCTCACAATTGGCTAGCCGCGTTGCCAAGCTCCGGATGCTGCTCGACCATTGGAGGCCGCAGGCCCGCCCCTGCCAGCTAGGTGAAGGTGAGAGTCTCCTCCAGTGGCCCCAGCTGGACCGGACGGAGGAGCTCCAGGAGCGGTGTGAAACCTCTGGGCAGATTCCCGCGCTCTCGCTATGGCGCCTCCGTCAGTCTTTGCCGAGGTTCCACAGGCCCAGCCGGTCCTCGTCTTTAAGCTCACGGCTGACTTCCGGGAGGATCCGGATCCCCGCAAGGTCAACCTGGGAGTGGGAGGTAAGGATGCAGCGCACTGCAGTGTAAGCAGCTTGGAGAGTGAAGCGGACCCAACCTGGGCCGTGGGTAGTGTGGATGAGGCCGAGACCCAGTTTGGCGCTGCCTGGATAGAGGGTCGTCGGACAGAAGGCAGGGTCCAGGAGAGCTTCGTTCAACCTGCCCATTTTACAGATGAGGACATGGAGTCCCTGGAAAGGGGAGATGTGTCCAAGGACACACAGAACAGGTGTAACAGCCAGAACACAAGCTCAGTCTTTCTGATATCCCATCCTGAGTTCTTTATACTACATCCTTCAAAGAAATGGGGCAGCCAGGGCTTGTAATAAGAGGGAGGAAAATAGGAAGCCTGATAGGCTTAGGGTGTTGGTTACTGGGAAATGCGTGAAGGAGAACTGTTACCCCTACGGACCTCTGGTCTGGGTACGTAAATATATTTGAATGATCACCAGGTATCAATCAGATACCTTATTAAGCCTGGAGAAAGACTGAGGCTTGGTTTTGCCCTTAAGGATTTTTAAATCTGCAGATGTTATACTATGCTTTGAGATGGATTAATACTTCCTAGAGGGATCTGGGAAGATGGCCTGGCCCTCACAGGTGTGGTAAGAATGGGTAAAGATGGTGGAAAGGAGCAGGAAGAAGTATGGGCAGTAGAAGCTCACTTTCCACAGATCCTTCATTTCTTGATTGTATTTCTTGGGCCTTGGATAGCTCAGAGCATGGGCCTGAGTTTACCCATCTGTCAAGAAGATATGTATTGGAGTGCTTCTGAAATTCCTTTTCACTCTAATCTCTGCTGAATTTGTTACTCCTCTCACCATGATTTGGATGTTTGAAACTCCATAGACACTTTCTCCATTTGGATTTTGCCACATACAAAGACCAGCCTGAGAGATAAAAATGAGTAGGGTGAAGTCCTATGCTAGGGAACAGACTTAGAATAAAAGGATTAGAAATTTTGAAAGAGCAAATGGAATTATTTTGTTGCAGAGGGTGACATGAAGGAGATTCAGAAACAGGCTTCCCATAGAGAATGTTTGTTTCTGTATGTAGCGTCTGCTAAAAATCATCACCAAAGGAGTATGGGAGAGGGTTAGGTAAGGAAAAAAACCATTAAAAAGTGATGGTTTGTTGAAGCTGGGTGATAGATATGTGGACATGCATTATATTATTCTCTCAGCTTTTGTGTAGGTTTGAAGTTTTTCATAATAAAGCACTTAAAAAAATAAGTCAGTAGTGCATAGTTTCACTGATGGAGGAAAAGTGATATTTTTAGCAGGCAGCAGAGTGGGAGAAATATTGAAAGATTGCCTTGAATTGAACTGGAATGGGCACCATTCAAGCTCTTAACATAAATCTAATCGAAAACCTCCAAGTATTGCTTTATAGCCAGATATATGAAGAACTAATATTCATGCCAATCTAAATATATCTTTTTAAAACATCAGATTTTATTGGCTCATTTATCTTTGAACTATCTTACAGGGTTTTTGTGAAGATTAAGTACATTTAAAGTGTTTAGAACTGTATCTGGCACATAAGTAGGATTTATCTAAGTGTTAGCTATTACTATTATTGTTGTTTTGACATTTCTTTGGGTGAGCCTCATAAAAGATGTTGAGTAAAAATTTTCAGCTTAAGAACTGCAAAATGAAATAATTTGACATTGGTTCAGAAATAAACTGCTCATGCAAAGAAAAAGCACCTTGATAGCCCAGGCCAGAAGTGATTGACTCATAATCGTAGTCATTCATGCAGATGGCCACCTCAGCTGTGATGGTGCCTTTGTCATATTTTCCAGGAACTCAGGAACTTCACCTCCTTTCTGTGAGCAAATGATTTGTGCATGTAATCTCATTTCATTCTCACAACTATGGAGGGTTGTTTATTACTATTACTTAAGTTTAGAGGTAAGGAAGCCAAAGCCTTGAGAGAGATGAAGCAATTTGCCCCAGGCTATAGGTCCTAGGTGGTAGAACTGGGATTCCAGGCTAGCTGTCTCAGGCCTCAGGTTTTCTGCCCACTCCTCTATTTTGGCTACTTTCAGGTGGTCTGGCAGGGGTGGGGAGGTCGGGCAGCCAGTGCACTGTAGTGGGAATAGCCAGGAGACCTAGGTACCGACCTGGCACTGTGGTCCAGTGATGTGACCTTGGAAGGGTTATTTAACATAGGAGCCAAACTGAATAACCTCCCTCTAAAATTCTACTCTAAGATTCAACTCTACTAAAAGTCTACTCCAAGATTCACGGGCACATTGTATGACTGTAGTGTAGGATAATTTTACTGGTTTCATCAGTTGACTAAGGATTAAATAAATAATTATGTGTGAAATATATGTAAATGCAAGTGTTATACATAAATGTTACTTTAAATCATCACTGTGACCATCTTTTTGTGGATGGCAGGCATTTAGATAAGGGTCTAACTAGAGTAGAATAAAAGGTCTCCTTCCAGCTTTTGTATGTACTAGCCTTATTTATACACATCCCAAAATATACCCATTGTGAAGGAAATGTAATAATTAACCACACTTTGGGGAAGATACTTTTTCCCCCCCAAGTTAAGATAAACCCTAATGGAGACTGTCTAGCTCGTGTTCTAGCAATGTTGGACACGTTTAGAATAAACTGCAACTATAATCTCAGACAGTTCCTACTTGCAGATAGTTTCCTCAGAAATTTTCTTCTTGCTGTGACTTCAGTAATTTCTTTAAACAGTAGAGTATCACTTTTCTGCTGAGCACGATGCTTTCCGAATTGATCGCTTTAGTGTTTCTCAAAGCTTCAGACTGAAGTGGCTTTATGGGTGTGGAAGACGTGGGCACAACCTGATGTGGCCTGTAACAGGAAGTTTCTTTATTGACTCCAGTCTGTTCATGTGAACTTAGCTTTCTTTTGGCCTAGACAAACTGCACTTGCTTTAATATTTGTTGTTTTCAATGTAGTGTCCCAGCATCTTCAGATAAAATTGTCAGAAAGATATGCTACATCAGGTGTTTCTGAGTACCCCTGACTCTCTCCCCAGTGTCTCAGTTGGGGAAGGATCTTAGAGGCACATCCTCATGGGCTCTTATGTGAGGATGGGTCAGGGAAGTAGAGATCTTAGGGGGAAGATGAGAGTGATGGTTTGGTCATTTAATTTTTTATATCCTTCTTTTCCTTCTGCAAAACAAGACTGCTGGGCCCACCTATAACCTGTGTGACTCCTCTAAAAGGGATTGTACCCAGGAAGAAGGGCAGTGGTGCGTGGAACTGGGGAACATATTGATGTTGATAAAAAAGGCCTCTGACACAGTCCCCTGGGGGCTGCTTGCTTTAGGCTTTCTCTAGATATCTCTTCTTAAAAAAAAGAACATGGATCCATGAACTTAATAGTATGATGGCCTTGCTCTTAATATCCTTGTGATCTTGGACAAATTATTTGACTTTACTTTTCTTTTTTTTTTTTCTGAGATGGGGTCTTGTTTTGTTGCCTGAGCTAGAATGCAGTAGTGTCATCATAGTTCACTGCAACCTCCAACTCCAGGGCTCAAGTGATCTTCCTGCCTCAGCCGCCCAAGTAGCTGGGACTACAGGCACACACCACCAAACCCAGCTAATTTTTAAATTTTATTTGTGGTAAAGATGGAGTCTTGCTTGTTGCTCAGGCTGGTCCCCAACTCTTGGCCTCAAGTGATCTTCGTGCCTTACCCTCCCAAAGTGCTAGAATTATGGGCATGAGTGACTGTACCTGGCCTATTTGACTTTTCTATCCTCTGTTTCCAGATCCCTAAAATAAGCATCACAATATCTATTTTGTGGGTTGTTATGAGAATTAAATGAGTAAAGAAATGTATTTAGCATAGTGCCTTATACGTACAAAGTATTTAGTAAATCTTTATTGTTATTACGATGGCTTCAGCTATCTTCAAAGTCCAGAATTATGAAACTTTTCTCTCCATCCTGGACTTCTCTGAGTGCAAGGTCCATCTGGACACATCTTACAATCACCTCAAATTCAACATGTTCAAAGCACTACTCATCATTTCCACTTTCCCCTTGATCTTTTCATTTTTCTTCCCCTTGTATTCTAGATTTTGGTCAACTCTACCACCACTATCCACCAGTTATCCAGACTAAAGGGAGACCTTGGAGTCATCAGCAAGTGTTTCCCAATCCATGTCTATTTATTTGGTCAATAAGTTCGGTCTCTTCTACCTCATAGATCTATTTTGAATAGTTCCCCTTTTCTTTATTCCTGCTACCACAGCCTGAATTCAAGGCCTCATTATTTCCCTTCTGGATTATGGCAGTAGCCTTCTGACTTTAGCTACTACCTCTGTCCTTTCCAGTTTATTTTCTGTGGTGTCACTCAAATGATCCTGTTAAAATGTGCAGCTGTTCCATGTTACTCTGTTGATTAAATGCTTCAGAGGTTACCCATTGAAACCAAAGTTCCTTAGAAGAGGCTCCAGAAGTCTTCGATCTACTCCCTGTGATTCCTCCACGGATCCCACATCTAAGGCATGAAAATATGGATCTTCAAAAACCTCATGCTGCCCAAGCCCCCTGGACCTTGCACAGGTGTTCCCTCTGTCTGGAATGCCCTTCTTCCCTTCCCTACCTTTTAAACTCTTAATTATCTTTCATACTTCATTCTCTGTAAAATCTTCGCTGACCCCTCAAAGTAGAATTAAAGGCTCTACTCTCTATTTTCTGGAAGGCAGATAGGTTCTTATTTTTATCTTATCCATCTCTGTAACTTCTAGCTAGTGCCTGGCCCATGCTAGACTTAGTAAGTCCTTGTTGAATGAATGACGGTCTAACAAAAAGTAATACAAATTCCCTGGGAGAGCAGGACTAGTGGTTGTTGGTAATGCTTGACCTTGCTGCTCCAATCACCCAAGAGTAATATACCATCTGCTTTCTTAGGATGGTTAGGCAAGGCATTGGGAACAAATCTAGAACTAAACCTGGGACCAAACAGGCGATGGAGAAGGAAGGGGAGGTATAAATTGGCCAGTTTCTCTTTAGTCACAGTACAGACAATGCCTCTTCTCTCATCCCTACTCCCAAGTGGTATTATGGTACTTTTTAGAGCTTCGCAGAGTATGTAGTAGTGGTTAGAACAGCAGTACTAACAGTCTTTCCTTTCTCTGTCATATTTTAGTTTTAGTACATTTATGAATGACATATTATCATAAATATAAATACATAGCATAATTATATAATATATATAATATCCAAACAGAGATCTGAAACATAATCAAATGGTTTTTTAATGAACATCCAAACTTTTGTACATCCAAGTAGTCTCCTTTCTAGGTAGTTAAAACATGCTTTTTTGTTCAAAGATTCCTGTAAATCCTCTTTTGGAATCCTTTGTGCAGGTAGGACCCAAACAACAAACCTTCTCTTTATAATTGTTCTCCATGAATATTATCCACTTTATTTACCCACCCTTCTTCACTGGAGATGATGCAGGTACTATTTCCAAAAATTAAATTGACTTTCAAAGGAAGAAAATTTGGCACTATTGAGGATATTCTAAATAATGAATGTTTCCTCTGTAAACAATTCCAAAAGAAGTTTCAAGAGTACTTTGAACATGGTAACATTGTGATCATAGATAGGGTAATCTGCTTCAGGGACAACTCTTACTTGGAAGTAGTTATTTTGGTGTGCCTGTAAGGAAACCAGACCAAATCCCACCTGGTAAAGGAGGCTTTTTGAACTTGTTGAGAAGGAATTAGTTTGGTGGGCATGGAGGTATAATGTGAGTGGTATGAGAGTATTGCGAGTTAGATTCACCTACCCTGAGATGGTTAGTTAGTGGCTGTGTCAGCCTATAACTCTGTCCACGTTTTTATTACTGATTTGATGTTTCTCTGATTTGCAGAGGACACATTCCTGGAGGGTAGAGTTAGCAGACAGAACAGAAGACAGACACAAAATTCAAAATGACCTTATAAAATCTTTTATTTGTTGTATACCTTTTGACCTAGTAAATTTACATTTAGAATTTTTTCCTAAGAAAACACTTGTGAATATGCATAAAGATATAAGAGCATTCATCAGAATGTTTATAATAGCAAATAATTGAAAGCAAAAGTTAGTAAATTATGTGTAGGAATATTATATCTAGTTACTAAACTGATGTTGTAAATGTCTCATATATATGAAAAATGCTCAGTTGTATTCATAATAAGAGAAATGCATATTAAAACTACCCTGGGATACCATTTGTACCCTCATATTGATAAAAATTCACTCAGTGGGTGAGGCTGTGTGAAAGCAGATACTCTTAAATAGTGTTGGTGGGAATGTAAATTGATATAATTCCTATGGAGGGCAATTTGGAAATATCTGTCAAAATTACACATACACATACTTCTTAGCCACCTCTTCCATTTTCTACCCTGCATCTTACAGATATATTTGTGTACATGTGAGATGATGTATGTACAAAGTTGTTCACTGAAGTATTGTTTTAAGATTGTAAACAACTCAAATGTCCGTCAGCAAGAGATTGGCAAAATAAATACGGTACATTCATCAGTTAAGCAGCTGGAAAAAAAAAACAAGGACACTCTCTGTGCACAAATATAGAAAGATCTTCAAGTGGAAAAAGCAAGGAACAAAACAGTATAGGGTACGTTATATGCTACCTTTTGTGTCAGAGGGCATAGGTAAGAAGCTGTATTTGTGTACACATACAGGAGTTCTGGAAAGATACATAAGAAACTAAGAACAGTTATTTATGGAGGAAGGGATTTGGGAACTAGGTAGATAGAGGATAAAGATAGGAAGGGGACATGCAAACATATCACCATTAGAAGACTAGTTAATGATGATGAAAGATTAATATGTATTTAAATGGACAAAAGCATATTGAAAATTCTATATACAGTATGATCCATATTTTATAAATGAATGTGCTTATAGAAAATAAAACTTAGAAGGTTATACACCAAAATTTTTGTTTTCTTTATCTCTGAGTATTGGGATTACATGTTAATTATAATGTTTATTATTTACTTTCTGGGATTTTCTAAATTTTCTACAATCAACATGTATTGTTCCTTAAATAATAAAGACTACCCTAAAAAGTGATTTTTTTTCCAAGTCAGGGATTAACATTGGGCAGGAATCAATAAGATACAACTTAATCAGAATTACTCTAAAATTGTGTTTCAGTTTCAAAGTCTCTTGCATAAGTATAGGATTGTTAGAGACCTAAACATTTGAGCATAGAGGCAAATGACCCCTATTAGCAATCCTACTCAGAGAGATTATTGGCTTGGGTGCAAGGCCAAAGCAGCTGTCCTCCAAAGCTGTAATCCTAACATAATCATAGAGTACAGGGAAAAAGTGCTAGGATAACTCTGAGGGCCTAAAAATACTTTTAGGGTAGACAAAATGCTTACTATAGAGCAAGATTAAATATTGTGAAAGAGATCAATTTGGATCAATGAAAGGGTGAGGCAGTTGAAATGGGATGAACATTCAAGGTGGTAAACATTGGCTGATGTCAAAATACAGAGAGAGGATAAAGAGGTGTTTTAGTGGATCCTTGAATGATTGTGTAACCTAACCAGTTGTTGGAATCTTCAGTCACAGGCATGTGCTCTCTCTTCACCCTAATTCTGCTCTTCTAGGACAAGAGGAGGGATGGACCTCTTAGCAATATTGACATGGCATTTGTACGACGCTTTTTAGTTTGCAGAGTGCTTTCCCATGCATTCTCTCACTTGACCAGGCTCTGTGATGTCCCAGTTTTATTTCAGCATTCTATTTTTGGAGGTCACGTAGTTAAGAGCTGTAAGTTTCCGGAGGATAGGAATCATGTCTGTCCTGTTTGTTTGCCCAGCAGCTAGCCCAGTGTGTGGCCCAAATTAGGTGCTCAGTAAGTGAATGAACTTTAACTTCAGTTCCCTTCACCGTTCTCTTTGACTAGAAGGTGGTGGAATGTTCCCTGTTCACAGTTACAAAGTGTTACTTGGACACAGCCTAATACTGACTCCTCTGTATATAACTCTTTTCCATTCTCTAGCGTATCGCACAGATGACTGCCAGCCCTGGGTTTTGCCAGTAGTGAGGAAGGTGGAGCAGAAGATTGCTAATGACCACAGCCTAAACCACGAGTATCTGCCGATCCTGGGCCTGGCAGAGTTCCGGACCTGTGCTTCTCGCCTACTCCTTGGGGACGACAGCCCAGCTCTCAAGGACAAGCGAGTGAGAATATATTTTTTCTTTAGAAATTGTGAAAGTAAAAACAGGTTGAAAATTCAATTTTTTTTAAAGTATTAGGTATTATTGAACTACCAGTGAATAAGCATTTAGTAGAGTAAGTTCAAGAACCTGATAGTGCACATATTGTGGCCATATGCAAAGCATGGGCTCTTTGATTGTTCAGTTTTGTCTAGTAGATCACCAGATTTCAGCTGCTGGGTTTGAAGCCATCAGTGGGATGCCAAGTAAAGGAGATTTAATGGAATGATATAAGAGACCAGGGTTCTAGACCCAAATTTGCCACTGTTTTTGACCACAAGCAATTCATTTACCTCTCTGGCCCGTATATCTACATGTCAGAAAAAGACTACGTAGTTTGGGTTCATGACCTCATAAGGAGCACTTGCATAGGGGCTCTTTTAAGGGGCCTCTGAGCCCCCTGAAATTATATATAGAATTTTATATATACTTAACTACTGGGGAGAAGGTTCATATCTTTTATCAGATTTTCAAAAGGTGTCTGTGGTCCCCAAAAGTTTAAGAGCCACTAGTCTACATGCTGTCTGAAGTCCCTGCCAGTTCTAATATTCTTTAATATTTCTAGCCTTGATCTCAGCATCTCTCATTTAAGTGCTTCCTAGTGTGTATTCTATGTATAACTGGAGACACATGGAGGAAAAACACATTTGGAAGTGAGATAGCCTGGACACAGCAGGAAGTGGTGTGCGACTGATTTTCAGTGTTGCAGGAATTCAGAGGAGGGGAGATCCCTGAGGACTGGAGATGGGACTTGAGCTGAACCTTGGAGAATGTGTGAACGAGGCCAGGATAATGGTTCTCAACTCTGGCTGTACATTAGTATCGCTTAGGGAGTTTGTGCAAACATTCTAGTGGCTGGACTCCATGGACCCCATGCCAGGCCAGTTAAATCAGAATCTCGGAGGGCACCACCTTTCCCCTCTCCTTTTCACCCCCACCCCCACCCCCTGGTCATTCTTGCCCACTATGGGCATATTAATTTAAAAGCTCCCCAGGTGATTACAAAGTACAGCCAGGTTTGAGGACCAACCACAAAGCAAGAAAGAGGGACAAAAGGAGAAGTATTCACCTTGAGTGGCAGGAGTTCAGGGACAGAGTTAAGGGGTAAGCAGATCTAGGTTGTAAAGAGACCTTCGTGATTAGAGCTGGGAACATGTTTTGGACGAATCAGGTAGGCTGATTTTGGCAGCTAAGGCAGGAGAAGCCAGCTGAAGGTTTGAACAGTGAAGTTACCCAATAAAGGTGTTATTTGAAGAAGATAAACCTGATTGGATGGGTGGAAAAGGGGAGAGGTCAGGGTTTTGCAATAGTCCAGTTAGCTATTGTGCAATTGCTGCCTGGGCCATTGTGTTGTAGTACGGCCTGTGGGTCATGCGTTGAAGGGGCCACATCTTGGAGTCATCTGATTTATTCCCCACAGGGTGTTAACAGCATGTTTTTCCTTTTGTATATCATGTTATCCAGGTGTCCTATAAGCAGAACAGCAGGGTAAATGAAGGTTGCACACATGTAACATTAATATGTATTAGGAAGCAGGGTGGCTCTGGTGAAGGTCTTGGAACTCAGGTCCATGATTAGGCCAGTAATTAACTTGATTAGGATTTTGTCTGGATTGTTTTGAGAGACTGTGACTTGCCTCAAGGAACTGAAGGCATTTGAGTAGAAATGTTGAGAGTATAAAGATTATAGGTCACATTGGGAAGTTGCTCTGAAAATCCAGTGTTTCCACAGAGGTAGTGGAGAGTCCTGATGAAGTTTGAAAGTCGAGAACTGAGACAGCTGGGGGCCTATCTTCTGAAATGCTGTAAATAAATTAGCTGGAATTCTGTTGCTGATAAATGAAAACAGATTCTGTGTTGGGAGCTTCTTCCTCTAAGACTGTGCATTTCTTTTTTTTTGAGACAGAGTCTCACTCTGTTTCCCGGGCTAGAGTGCCATGGTGTCAGCCTAACTCACAGCAACCTCAAACCCCTGCGCTCGAGCAATCCTCCTGCCTCAGCCTCCCAAGTAGCTGGGACTACAGGGCACCACCATGCCCAGCTAGTTGGCCAATTAATTTCTTTCTATTTTTAGTAGAAACGGGGTCTCGCTCTAGCTCAGGCTGGTTTTCAACTCCTGACCTCGAGCAATCCTCCTGCCTCAGCCTCCCAGAGTGCTAGAGTTATAGGCGTGAGCCACTGTTCCCAGCCAGACTATGCATTTCTTATACAGTTATTATTGATAACTATGTTGGGCACATGCTTGTTCTTCTGCTCATTGATCCTTGTTTGGTCACTTAACACTTAACTGTAAGGTCACTTAACTGTAAGGCTTGGGGCCATTGCTTGTGGTCTTGACCTGGGAACATAGCTCTCCCTCTTAGTCTAGTTCACCCTGTTGTGTTTTTGATCATAGCACAGTTTTAAATGGCAGTCTTCATGGCAGCAAATAGTTGAAGATACTTTTTTGGACTGGCTTGAGATACTCTCTTAGTGTCTACATCACCCTAGGTACCAGTTGCTACTGAGCCCTGAGCCTTTCCTCTATCTGGAAGTCCTAACCACCCCCAGGCTACTGTCTTAGTTCAGTAACAGCCTCCCAATTGACCTTCCTGCCTCTGGTCTCTTTCCCATTCTAGTACATTCTGCACACTGCAGCTAGAATGACCTTCCTTAGCAAAAAAAGCTAATCATGTCACCTGTTACCTCTGCACACCACACAGAGTAGCTCCCCCATTGCCTACAGGGTGAAATCCAGACCTTGAGCTTGGCATGCAGCAGATTTAGTAACATCCCTCATTCTGTTCTTCCAGTTGCTTAATTTCCTTCATCGCCGGGGGTCCTGCCTTTCTATGAGCCTTGCTGTTTTTTAGACCCACCAGGCCCTGTCTTGACTAAGAGCCTTTGCCTGGCTCTTCCTTCCACTTGGAATGCCCTTCTTCACTTCTGTAACTCCTCAGGCCCCACCTCTGAGTTCTGCAAGACTTGGTCAAGGTTCACTTCACACTGAATTTTTAGCTTTCCTAGGCAGAGCTAGTTGTTTGAGTCCTCTGAGTTATCACAGGACTTTGTTCACAGCTTGGTAATAACAGCATTTACTGTGCCTACTATGTTCTGTAATTTTATAAGTCTGTGTCTCCCACAAGACCATAACTTTCCCTGGGGTAAGGATCATTACTTACTTTGCAGATCTTCAGCATTTAGGTTCTGGTACCTCAGAGATTTCCAGGTATTTCAGTTCATTCATTCATTTAGTCAGCCGATGCTCACCACTAGAGCTGGGCACTGTTCTAGATGTTAGAGCATAGCAGTGATTCAAACACACAGAATCACCTGGCTTTGCTTTCAGTTTTGTAGAGAGAAATATACTAAAAACATAATCAATAAGAAAATGACATAGTATGTTAAAAATAATAAATGCTCTAAAAATAGAGCAGGGGGAACCATGTTGGGAGTTCTGGGGGTTTTAACTAGGTGTTCATGGTAGAAATAGAATGACATTTGATCCAAAACTTAAAGGAGATAAGGCATGAATGAATGAATAAGAAACACTAATCTTATCTTCCCTTAGATTTTTCTTCTCCAGATTTAACATTACCAGATCTTTCACCCATTTTGAAAAGACCTATTTTCTAGACTCCTCACTACCTTGTATTAACTTTCCCACTTTCGCACCTTAGGATTCAGGCAAATGTCCATTCTTCACCTCCTGCATAGTACTGTTTCAGCTTCTGAAATGACTGAGCCACTGTAGATAGGAGGGTTCGGGTACTGTAACTCCTTGCCATGTAATGACATCCCACTCTCTTGCTTTGACCATTGTTTCTAGCAGACTTGGGGCTTTGGCTGTGGCTCAGATCTTCTCACCACTGTCTTCTTTCTTCATCTAGTTAAGCACGTGTTTATATAGGACTGTGGGCCAGACACCCTGAGAGTTGCTGGGGGTGCCTAGATGAATGCAAAGTGGCTCTGGCCACAGGCAGCTCCTGGTCAGTTCTCCTACTCACAATGAAGTCATAACATCAGCAAATTGTGATCTCAGATAAGGCGTCCTAGAGTCTAGCAATTATATACTGACGTTTCTAGTAGATATAGAGGCCTACTTTGTCCAGCTTCACACACGAGTCTACAGGATTTCCCTTGTTCTGGATATTCCTGGCTAGCCATCCAGGTCCGGTTACCTGGCTCCTTGAGAAGTCTGTACTTACTTCCTTTGATATGTGATATCCTTTATTCCAAATAGAGGACTTTCTTGGGGTTTAGGACAACGTGCCAAAAATCAGTTCATAGAATAGACCATTTTTTTCCTTTATCATCTTTTAGCATCAGTGTTACATTAGGTTATTAAAAAGATTTACGAAGCTTTTCTCCTCTGTCTAGGAAGACTTTTTAATCTTTTTATCAGGGAAATTTTCAAATCTATATGAAAGAAGAGAAAACAGTATAATGACTCAATCCCATGTGTCTCTCACATAGCTTCAGTAATTATCTGTATGTGGTCGATGTTGTATGTTTCCCTCTTTTCACCTTCTCACCCCTCCTCCACTGCCAAAGCTGGATTATTTTACAGCAAATCCTAGACTTCTAAGTAGGTTTTAAAAATTATTATAAAATTGTACAAATAATACATGAATACATTCTTCTTATTTAAAAAAATAACAATTTACAGATTAGGCCAAAGTCCATTTTGACCACTATTCCTACAACCTGGACACTCCCTCCCCAGAGGTTGCTGCCTTTAGGAGGTGTGTGCCCTTCCTTTTATTTAGGTAGACGTTTTCATGCGATCCTTTTCTTCCTTTCTCCTTAATCCTTTAGACAAATTAGGCAACATGGTCTATGACATTTCTATACTGAAAGAGTTATGCTGAAACCTAGTTCGAACTTTGAAGGAACAAAATCAAAGGTCTATAGGCAGAACTACATCAACAGGACATAGTGACTCGATCTAGAATGGGAAGACCTAGATTTGTGCCCAGCCTTGCCACTCACTAGCTGTGTATCTTTTTGCAAATGACTTCTCTGAATCGGTTTCCTCGTGTCAATTGGGGATCAAGTAAGAATATATGCCAGGGCACGTTGTAAATGGTAATACCCAAGAGTTTTATTACTGATCATATTTGCTCACTTTAAGATGAGAGAAAGCTGAGAGAGGAAAGCAATATTAAATATTTGCTTATTACCTTTGTTTTGTTAGAACACACTTCTAGAGATGAGGAGTACCACAGATGGATGTCAGTGGCAAGCTGGAAACACTATTTTATAGGCTTCTGCCGGAGGGAAATTTTGATTTTGACATGGGTGCTGAAGAGATGGATTTTCTTTCCAAGGCACACATATGCACCAATGTGGCCTCCATGTGGCCTCTGCCTCTGTGTTCAGAAGGGAAGTTCCCCCAGACCCGGACCTCGTGGGTTGAAGACCTGTCCCTCTTGCTTGGTAGCTGGTAACTTTGAGCAAGGTGCTTCCCCTCTCTCAGCTTCAGTTTCCTCATTTGTAAACACGGGCAAATGATGGAAGCTTCTTCACATAGCTGCTGTGGGATTTTGATGAGATAATGCAATTAAAGGGCTTAGCACAGAGTAGGCACAAATTAAGTGCTCATTATTACTTGATTTTTCTAATATTATGTGACCTCACCATTATCAGGCTGAGACCCTGCTTCTTCTTTTTCAGGTAGGAGGTGTGCAGTCTTTGGGAGGAACAGGTGCACTTCGAATTGGAGCCGACTTCTTAGCACGATGGTACAATGGAACGAACAACACGGACACACCCGTCTACGTATCTGCACCAACCTGGGGTGAGTCTTTTAGCTGCAGCAAGAGGAGAAACAGAAGTTAGAATTATCCGCATGACTCTGTCTGTTTACACAGAAATTGTAGTGTAGCCTGGAGCAACCCACCTTTGGGAATGGCCTGAGCAGTGGATTATAGCAGTGCGTGAGAAACCTGGTGCTCAAATGCAAAATAGGAATACTCTTTCTCAAGGCTCTTGGTAGACTTATATTTTAGCCTTTGTTGAAACTTCCCCAGAGGAGGCATAAAATGTAGATGCAGGAAGTACCGTTGTAGTGGGATATAAGTTTGGCATTAATGTGACTGGTTGAACTTGTTCTTGTTTACAATCATTCTTCTGTATCTTGACCTCTAGCTTCGGTGACGCACAGTGGACATTGAGCTTGTGAGGGCCCTGGAAGCTGACTGGTATCTTTTCCAGTTATACCTCCTTGTGTTTGTAAAAGTGGTTAACATTTTACAACCCTTTGCTTGCAGAAAATCATAACGGTGTATTTTCCACCGCTGGTTTTAAACATATTCGGACCTATCACTACTGGGATGCAGAGAAGAGAGGACTTGACCTCCAGGGTTTCCTGAATGATCTGGAGGTGGGTGATTTAGAAGAAAAAGTAAAGAGAATCCCAAGGTGTCAGGAACAGCAGGGAAAGTCTTTGGATAAATTGATAGGTGAGAGTCTGAGGTATCTTCCCTAAACCAGGTGGTGGTTTTTGAAATAGCAAGTAAGAGAGAGAGCACAAAAATAGCACAAAAGAGAGACATGAGGGAGTGATAAGAACATGGTTGCCCTTTGCCCCCATTGCTGGCCAGTATGCTGCTGACTTTGTCTCCTGATACTACTGCTAGCATCAGAGCTGACACAGCTTCCTTATCCACAGAATGCCCCTGAGTTCTCCATCTTTGTCCTCCATGCCTGTGCACACAACCCAACTGGGACTGACCCAACTCCGGAGCAGTGGCAACAGATTGCTTCTGTCATGAAGGTAACTGCCGTTTTAGAGCATCTCTTAAAAAAATACTGTGTATTATTATTTAATGTATTCAAAAACAATACTTGCTTACTGAAGAATTTGGAAAAATGGAGAAAAGTCGAAAGAAAAAAATATTAACTATAAATCCTATCACCCAAAGAAAAACACTGTTAATGTTTTGGTATATAGACTATCAGGTTTTGGCCTGGTGCGCTAGCTCACACCTGTAATCCTAGCACTCCAGGAAGCCGAGGTGGGAGGATTGCTTGAGCTAAGGAGTTCAAGATCAGCCTGAGCAAGAGTGAGACCCTGTCTCTGCTAAAATTAGAAAAATTAGCTGGGCATTGTGGTGTGCGCCTGTAGTCCCAGCTCCTTGGGAGGATGAGGTAGGACAATGGCTTGAGCCTAGGAGTTTGAGCTTGCAGCGAGCTACGATGACACCACTGCACTCTACCCAGGGCAATAGAGCAAGACTCTTGTCTCAAAAAATAAAAAAATAAATAAAAAAAATCAGGCTCTGTGTGTGGGTACAGTTTTAAATATATTAATATATATGTTTTACAAAGATGAGATCATTTTGTACTGTTCTGTAACACTTTGTTTTTCATTTGAACTTCTTTCTATACATGTCATTAAATGTTTTACAGCATCATTTTTCATAGCTATATTATATCCCTTTCTTGGATATGTCACATTAGGGATTGGGTAAATCAGTTGTTGGACATTTAAGTTTATTTCAGATTTCTTGATCTTATGAACAATTATGTAATACAACTTTTTATTGTTTCTTTGATAGAGCTTTCTAGATTAGAATTTCTAGCTCAAAGTGTGTATATTCTTCACTAATGTGTTTATGGAATATTCATTGAGGAAGAGTTGTATATGGGTGCTGTGGGGCTACAGTAATGAACACAGCAGACATGGTCCCTAGCCTCAAAGAGCAGACAGCCTGTTTGGGGAGACAGATGAGTACTAGGCAGTTATGATACTGTGAGATATCTGTGTTGATGGGGCTTATAATGGAGTTTGTAGCCCAGATTTTGGGCAGTGTATATGTGGAGGGGGCAGGGTGGCAGGAACCTCTCTGGAAGAAGGGGTTTCCATGTTGAGACTTGTAGGATGGGGAGGAGTTAAGAAGGCATTGGCAGCCAGGAGTAGGCAGGGAACTTTCCTTCCCTGCAGAGGGAAGAGCATGGTCAAAAGCCTCAGGTAGAGATCATAGTTCAGTTAAGCAAGTGAAAGTAATTCTTACCATGGCCTGGAGTTCAAGGGAGCTGGGGAGTGTGAGTTACAAGGGTAGAGAGTAAATAGAGCCAGGTCTTGTGCTGAGGAGTTGGACTTTGTTCTCAGGGCAGTGGAGAGCCACTGAAGGCTTTGATGTCAGGGAGTGACACACTTGGATGTGCATTGTCTTAAGGTGACCCTGACTGCATAGCAGGGACTGGCTTGGAGGGAGGCCAGATTAGGCAGCTGAGGGAGCAGTCAGGAGGCTGCTGCCATAATCCAGGTTGGTGTTGATGGTGCCCTGAATGGAGAAGGGGAAAGTGAGATGCAGACAGATTCCAGAGCTCTCAGGAGACAGGACTGACAGGACTTGGGGTGCGATAGGATGTGGGGGAAGAGCTGCAGAGGAGGAGTCATGGTACACCCCAGTCTCACCCAGATACAGCCAAGGCTTTGATGTTTCCAGGGAGGGAAGTGGTATCCCTCAGAGAACCCACTCGCAGGAACAGGTTCAGTGTGGGCAATTCTTTGAGGAGATAAGAGTGATAAGACTAGAAACCAATGTCCACTTCATCTTGAGTACCCAGTAGAACAGCTGTGAAGTTGTGAGAAGGCCCTGGGGGATACCAAGTCTACATTTGACCAAGCTTATCACACAAGGAACTCAGGGAGAAGAATCCACCAACATAGAACATTACCACTGTGCCTCAAAACTAAGCCCTTTTAGCAAAACTGCATCATGACACCCTAGGATGATGTACTTTCTTTTTGTGAGACAGGGTCTCACTCTGTTGCCTGGGCTAGAGAGTGCAGTGGTGTGATCATAGGTCACTGTACCCTTAAACTCCTGGGCTCAAGCGATCCTCCTATCTCAGCCTCCTGAGGAGCTAGGACTACAGGCATGTGCCACCATGCCTAGCTAATTTTTCTATTTTTTGTAGACAGGATCTCACTCTTGCTCAGGCTGGTCTCAAATTCCTGGCCTCAAGCAGTCCTCCCACCTTGGCCTCCCAAAGTGCTAGAATTATAGGTGTGAACCACCATGCATGGCCCACAACATACTTTAAAAAAGCAAAGTTTACTGAAATCATTACATTTGTTGGTTGGTATTTAGCTGAACAGAGAAAGAGACATAAAGTGGTGGTTGGGTGCACATAGACGAGAAGTAGGAGAAATGGACAATCAGTCAGTTCCTCCCAGGCACCAGTTGGGAAAGGAAGGTTGTCCGTGTCTAAAGTTGGTTCCAGAAGGATTTCCTGCCCTGACTCACTTTCCTTCCTCGCAGCGCCGGTTTCTGTTCCCCTTCTTTGACTCAGCCTACCAGGGCTTTGCATCTGGAGACCTAGAGAAAGATGCCTGGGCCGTTCGCTATTTTGTGTCTGAAGGCTTCGAGCTCTTCTGTGCCCAGTCCTTCTCCAAGAACTTCGGGCTCTACAGTGAGTGCTCTCCCGAGTCACAGCAGCCTCCCTGCATCACACCCCATCCGCAGCCACAGCTGATTCTCATCTCTCTCTTTAGACGAGCGCGTGGGGAATCTGACCGTGGTTGGAAAAGAAGCTGACAGCGTCCTGCGGGTCCTTTCCCAGATGGAGAAGATTGTGCGAGTTACTTGGTCCAATCCCCCCGCCCAGGGAGCACGAATCGTGTCTCAGACCCTGTCTAACCCTGAGCTCTTTAAGGAATGGTAAGGGGCTCACGGCCTGCTGGGCGAGGGGTGGGAGGCAGAGCAGTCTTTGTCCCATTACATTGAACTGAGTCTTTTCCTTTTATTTAGGCAGAGGCAGGACAAAATTACTTTAACCCCTTTGAATATCAAATATTTTTGTAAAATAGGGCAATGCCTACCTGACGTGTGTAACACGACACCTGGAGCCCAGGAGGAGGACTCAATGAGTGGTGGTTTCTCTGCTCCCCACCTCCCAGGCTTTCTCCCCATAAAGTGGGAAAACACAGGAAGGAATTCCTAATAGAACAGAATATCCACCTTCAAGGCAGTATGGGAATTTTTGGGCTCTTCATTTTATCTCTGATTTACATACATACATTTTATCTTATTTTGGAACAGAGTTATTTTTACATAGTAGCTAAATCTGTAATCTCTGTTTAATTAGGCATGATAAAATATATTATCCTATCTATATCAGCACCTCAGTGACGCCTGAGTTGAAACATTGGTGTTTTATGGCCAATGTACCCAAGACACCACTAGACTCCATCAGTAAATACAGCCCTTTCCTTAAATGCAGTCCTTTCCTTTTGCCTGCTAAGTCTGTCTATCTGGTCTGTTCATCCTCCCATCTAGTCATCTACATACCATAATGAGCAGGTTGTGACCCCATTTTCAGCTTATAGTTTAAATTACAGTTTTTAAACTTTCATGTTTTCATGTACCATCTGTCCTGTCTGGATTGATATTTATGTTGCTGTCCATGCTTCAGGACAGGAAACGTAAAGACAATGGCTGACCGGATTCTGACCATGAGATCCGAACTCAGGGCACGATTAGAATCCCTCAAGACCCCTGGAACCTGGAATCACATCACTGAGCAAATTGGCATGTTTAGCTTCACTGGATTGAACCGTAAGTGGCCGCCACCACCTCTAACACATTCCTGCTGTAGACACACAGTACTTCTCAGTTGCAGTCACTGGTCTTGACCTCACCTCCGTTAGCCATTGCCTACTTGGGCAGCCATTACTTTGGACCAAGTTAGGTTTTCTTAAGGTGTCTCACCATCTCCTGAACCCCTTGGGTCTCAGAAAAGCATTGTTGTGGTCTGCCCTGCTGACCCATAGCCAAGACATTTTCATTTTTGTAGGCTGGGAAGTAGCTCAGAGCCAGCTGGGAAGTAACAGGATTTGTATCTTGGAGCCTTGATTTATGAAAGATCTCTCATAAATGTTCAGGTACCTTTTAGCTTTACCTTAATCCTAAGAATAAATATATGTGATTATTCAGGGACATATTTTCTTAACAGGTTTTTCCTATCACCAACTATTGCCCTTACAAAGAGGTTACAAAGTTATCTTTCCATTTCATACATAAAAACTAGTTGAAACTAAAAGCTGAAGTTAGTGGGCAGCCATGCGCAACCTTGGTCAGCCATCAGTGGGGTATATCTGCCATCAGCAGTCCCTTTTGATAATAGAGGATTCATCTATTTAATAGATAATTCCAGAGCACTACTGGCCAAGCCACCAGTCACATGGTGTGGATGTGGCCCCTCACCTGCATGTCCTAGTGGCTCTAGGGAGGGATGTTCAGCTGGTGTGGGTTGTAGGTAGAACATCAGAGGCCCACAGAGGTACTACAGCTGGGACCACCACAGTGCCAGTGTGAAATGGGCTTAGAAAATAAGGAAATAAATATCAATGAGAGGTGATAGAGATTGTATTGCTGACCCCTCAAAATACTTTGGAGTAAAATGAGGCTCCCTGAGAAAGTGAAGGAATAGCTCAGTTAGCTGTAGGTGTCCTCATGTAGGTGGGGCAGAGAATTACTTCACTTGTGTAAATAAAATCATCCTTATAGGATGTATTTTACATTACATCAATACAATATTTAATGTAAAAATATTAAGTGTAACGGAAATAGTCTTTAGTAGTAATATTCTTAAAGCTCACAAGATAAAACATCCATATCTTTCTACTATCCAGAGTGGGAATTTAGTTTTATTATGTATCGAAAGAGAATAGATGAGAATAGAAGTGTGCTTATAACACAAAAGTTATATTTTTAGTGCTTGACATCGTTTACCCTTTTTAAAAACAGGGTTTGTTTGGTTTTTCCCAACATTTTATTAAGAAAAGTTTTAAATATAAAGAAAACTTTGAGGAATTATGCAGTGAACTCCTATATACCCACAACCTAGTTTCTACAGTTTTCATGTTAAAAATATTACTACATTTTATCTGTCAGAACAGGGGCTTTTAACCTGGAGTCCATGGATGTACTTTAGATTTGTGAAGCCCCTGAAGTTATATTTAAAAAATTGTGTATGTGTATATTAGCCTTTTTCTAGGCAAAGAGTCTATAACTTTACTTACTTCTCTAACTGTGATACTTCCTTCCTCCCAACAAGTAGAAAAGTCTCATTTTTATTTAAAATAAAAACAAAAAAACAGGGTAGGAGCCCTGTAACCACAACATGATGCATTTCTGCAAACATGGAAAAACCCTCCTGCATCTGAGAGCGAGTGAGCTGAGAAATAGGCCAGAGTCTCATGCTGCCAGGTCAGAGAGGTCTGTGTAGTTTTCCAGTTGGTTCATTCACACAGCGCTTATCAAGTACGTGGGGCTTTGTCTGATATAAAAATGTCAAAGGGAGGTGGCTGTTGGGTGCCCATGGGCAAGAAAACACAGGTCAGAGAAGGGCTAAAAGAAGCATTTCATAACCAGTTTTTCATCTCGATGGAAAATTCTTAAGTCTGATGGTTGTTTTGGTTGATAGGAGCGTCCTGGTGAATGTTCTGTACAAGGCTTGATTGGAAGGTAATCCCAGATTAAAATTCCCATCAGAAGTAGCCATATTGAATTTTTTGGGGATTAGGAAGTTAACTAGTAAGAGTACTTTCCAGAATCTAGTGAGTATACTTTCCTATCTGTCAGCTGGACAAAATAGCTCCTTTTGATTTGCTTCTCTGTTAAGGGGAAGGAAGAAAAATTGTAGTTGTTATATAATTGCTGAGCTTCCATTGCTTTAAGGTTGCCTGCTCCTCTGATTATATCATCTTTTGGTTTCAACAGCCAAGCAGGTCGAATATCTGATCAATGAAAAGCACATCTATCTGCTGCCAAGCGGTCGGATCAACATGTGTGGCTTAACCACCAAAAATCTGGATTATGTGGCCACTTCCATCCATGAAGCAGTCACCAAAATCCATTGAAGAAACACCATCCCGTCCAGCACCACCAAAGCAGTTCTCTGTCACGTGTGTTCCCTGCCTGCACAAACCTTGATGTACATATCATGGATTAGAGACTATAGGACGAAAAGGGTTGCTCTGGTGAGATGGCCTCTGCTTAAATTGGCCCATGTGAAGAGGACATACCTTGAAATAAATCGGAGGCCTGGGATTAGAGCATTTTGAAGGCTAGAGCAAATTAAGATTTTTATTTAAGAATAAAAAATACTTTGATCATGAGTTGTAGATATCTTTCCACCTTGCTAGAAGCAAGAATGTTGCTCCTGTGCTTCTACATGTTGCTCGACTCTGTACAAAGTCTAGTCCCAAAGATCAAGTCAAGTCGTTTGAAGGAGCAAAGTGTGAGTGTGGGAATTGGCTGTGGCATTAAAACTCTTCAGCTCAACCCAGAGTGTCTTATCTCCCTGCTCTTTCTGCATGGTTGTGTCCCTAGTCCTAAACTCTAGTTCTTTAGGGCAACTGTGATAAGAAATATATTTAATCATGACATACACAAAGGTACACACATATATTTAATTGAAACGAAAGTTTCACAAAACAGTGTTTATTCTTGTTATGTGTAGTGCATTCTGATATTTTCTAGTCCATTCTATTCTCTTGTGTTCTACTTCACTAAAAAAATAAAATAAAAATGCTGATCAAGACTTATGGAATTGCTTTTGTGATCCACTAATGTGTTGTGACCCATGGTTTAAAATGAATGCTTTAGCGGGATTAACTAGTGGCTAAGGAAAAACTAAAATGCATTCACAGTATAGCTCCCTTTAGTGAACTCACCATATATAACTTTGTTGGTTTTGTGGGCTTGTCATTCAGAGGCCAGCTGTCTTCTAATATTACTTTAGAAACTGGACTTCATGGACTCATAGGAGGGATGATATCACTCAGGGTGATTCTAGAACACCGGCCGCTCTCATAGTTGGAGTTCCTCTTAGTCTATTGAAATAATTAGAGCCACTTAAATGTAGACCACAATTTCCAGAGAGTCCAAGGGACTCCAAAGGGCAGTTTTGTAGAATCTGGTGGGGTTGAATCTTATTAAAACAAGAGGGCTACTACTTGGAGTTTAAAAATATTTAGTTAATTCTTGTTATTTTAACAGGATCTGGCCCTTTCTAGGAGACCTTTGAGTTGTAAAATCCTACAGTCTTAAAGGATGATTGGGGTCTTAGAAGTCAAGTCCGTCCTCTCTCCCTCAGTGAAATAGTCTCTTCCATGTTGCCCCTGATGCATCATCTTCAACCAGGGGTTGTTGGTGGGTTCTTTTGGTGCTTGGTGAGGCATCCATCCCATTCTGTTGATGGAGCCCTTTAATAATAAAGATCTCTTACCTTGAACCAGAATTTGATCCCCTTTGTGAAACCCCTTCCTCCTTCCTTTGAACCATAGACAGTAAGTCTTCTGGCAATTCTGATGACCTTTCAAATATTTGAAAGTAGTTGTTATTCCTTGATTATGCTTTTCCTTGTGAACCCCCTCTCCTCCCATTCTTCAGTGTTTCTGCGCAGGATATGGTTTCCAGATCCTTCCTCATTTGGCTGGAGCCCCTGCAGTCCTTCAGAGGGCACTTGCTCTGCACATGTGTGATTGGACTGGTGGATGTGAACTGACTGAGCATGATTAGATGCTCTCCTCCTGCCTTCTGAACAAATCAGTATTTTTTCTTCCAATTTAAAGATGCTTGTAAGGGAAAGCAGCCAAAGTAGAAGTTGAATGATTCTACCTTGTGTCTATCCCCTGTCGTTCTCTGCAAACATAACTTTAAAGTATGCATTCACCAAGGGGGTGATAGTACTTCCACGAGGGCAAGAGTTGGTTCTTTGGGGCAAAAATAGTCTGATATATTAAAATGGATTGTGGCTCTCCAAAGAGCAATCCTACCTGACAAAATCTTATTTAATTTCTCTTATTAGGGATAATTTAAATTAAATTTTTCTCTTTAGTGGGGTGCTAAAGCCATTAAACACTTCTTTAAACCTAAGTGCCAGTACCAAAGTGCTAAAATGTTTTTGGCACTTAAAAAAAGCCCCAGTCTCTCTTGTTCCAGCAGCTGTAGCTTAAAAAAAGAAAAGAAAAGAAAAGAAAAAAGCTCCAGTTTTGATTGGGATTTGGCCTTCTTAATTCTATTCTTACAGATCCTTTGGTTAGTGTGGCCCCCACTGTGTTCTAGTTTCCTCTGACTGTTCAGAGTATTTATGTGAAAAGGCTCTGTGTAAGTTTGGGAAAAGCTATAGGACTCTTTAGGGCCCCTGACATGCAGATGTTCACTGTGAATTTCAGAGGTAGGATTGTTTCACAGATTTTGCCTGCTAACCAGGAGGGCACTCAGACCTCCAGGCCCTGCCAGTTGTGTAACCTTCAGCAAGTCATCCAACCTCTCAGTAACACCCCCTTCCCAGTGTGGTTTTGAGAAAGAAAGGAGCTAATGGATACTTAACACAATACTTGGCACATAAAGCCCTAAGCAAAATAGTTATGATCATTTATTATTGTTAATGAAATGAATAGCCTCTATTGAGATTCCTGAGAAGAATCTTAAGCCATCTGGCATAGGTCACTAATTGTCCAGTTTGCCGGTTTGAGAAATTGGTAGTAGGTGTCAGATTGCAGACTTCCTCCTACACAGATATTAAATGCCCAAACACAGCTTCCCACCTGTCTGGTTGTTCCCGCCCTCCTGCATTAGTTTAAAACTGACCAATAAGCCTGACCCGCTCCTGTGTTTCTTTCCCCAGCCTTTGGTTGGAAGCTGCTGGAGTTCTGCCACTTTGACTCCTTTCTGAAGGGTCTGCAAAAGTGAGCCATTGTGACCAGCACATTGTCTCGGGGGCTTGTCTGGGTCTAGCCTCTTAAGACCCTCAACTCAGATGGCACCCAGTACCGTTTTTTTTTTTTTTTTACCCATCACATGAGTTCAACACATGCCAGCCCTTCTCAGTGTTTTCTCAGGCCTCCTACTTTGTCTTCATGCACACTCCAGCTTCTTGTTTGGGTTTTACTTCCCATTGCTGGCATTTGCTCCTGCAAAATCTTACCCATCTGACCTCCCAAAGTAGAATGCCAGGGCTTTACTGTAACCTTACTGCAGCCTCACACCTGGCCTTGAGAGGCGTGCCTTTCAGACAGGTGGGCCACCGGTGAGAAAATTGCACATGTGCAGCACCCAACCTGCATCTCAAAAGAAGCCACTTCAATCTCCAACATTCCAGGGCAAGGAAAACAGCCACATTCCAGGAAAGGCATTTTCACTTTATTTAAAAATTATTTACAATTATTGAGCCTTCATAAATGCTCTATTTTAAAATTCTTTTTTTTTTTTTTTTACCTGAAGAAAATCTTTGTTGGGGTTGGGGGCTATAGGGAGAGGAGTGGTGACAGGCTCCTTAGGGATTCTGCAAAGGGATGGATGTAATGCAACAGCAGTGGCCTGAACTCCGTGGCATAAGGGGTAATGAAAGGAAGGCTAGCCAGGCAGGCCCCCCCGGCCAGTGGCTAGCTGAGCAAGAAGACTGCATGATGGCAGTTCTTGCTCAAGACTCACCATATACTGGTTGGGACTGAGGCACCCAACACTGAGGGCTGACATTGTCTATTCCTACCAGGCAAGAGCAGGTGTTGGGAGGGGATTGCTGTGAAGTTATCTAGGAGAAGTCATGCACTGCTGAGCCTCGCACCAGGCCTGGCCAGGCAAGAGTGCATTGAAGTCAACAATACATTGCTGGAGAAGGCATCCCTAGCTCCAAAGTCTGCTCCCACATGCTGTGGCCCTCCTGTCTGCAACACCTGCTCTGGTTTGTTGGGGAAGTGGGGACAAAGTTATGTGGGATGTACGATATTCTAGAATGTGCCAAGAATTTCTGAGGATTCAAACCTCTTGGTGGGTGCCAGCCTCCCCCATTGGTTGATGGCCACTTGAGAAGACCACTCATAATTAAAACTCTGTCTCTCAAAGTGCCCAGTATTCACTTCACTCTGCATTGCAGAAACTCTGGGCTGAAAGCTCCACTATTTAAAATAGTGTTTTTTTTTTGTTTTTTTTTTTTTAAATCCTTTGTAGGTCTAAGACCTTTGAGAATATTATGAAAGCTTTAATGCTCTGGAAAACATACAAGAATACATACACTAAATTCGGACAGTTTTAGGGGTTTCATAGACCCTCTGAAGTCCAACTATGGACCCCCTGGGGTGATGGACCCCAAGTTAAGGACCCCTGAGTTAAATGTTCCTGTGGGTAAGCATTTTGTTTTGAGATGCAAATAACCCAGAGGAATTACCAGTCTGCAACCTCCCCATCTGATTATTGATTGAATAGGTGTGGGGAGGTGGAAGTGATGGTTTTGGAAGAAGGGGAGGGAAGGTATGCCACAGGGAAAAGTTTGGGAACAGTTAAAGATTCCACAAACAGCAGTTGATCGCTGGGTACCTGACTGAGGGCATCCAAGTAGTGGGAGATAGATCAGAAAGGGAGACAGATCAAAGACAAACTTCACTTCCAAGTTTTCCCTAAGGCTTGCTGTGATCCTCATTAGGACTATTTTATTCTTGGAAGTAGGTATGTGCAGTCTTTCTGCCATCTCGTGGTTATACTTGGAATTGCACCTGCCTCAGCAGCCAGGAGAAAAACCAGAGATCTAGTAAGTGTTTGGAATAAAGTATACTCAACCGACCTGCTAGGGTATAGTAAGGGGTGGGAGGTGCAGATGAATGAAAAAGAATGATTTTTCAACGTTCCTGTGTAATACATACACATTGCAGTCCCACGAGAGCGTGCATCTTTCCTGGCTGACCTGGGCACTCTTTGGTTCATCATGGCTAAACTTGCTTTTAACTAACGGCTTAGAATTTTTCCATGTAAGGTTTTTTTTTCTTCTTCTGTTTTTCTCTTGCTTTGATTTGCACTTAACACCTGAAGTTCCATCTCTGGCTCCCAACTGGGTCTCTCTGCTCTCCGCTCCTCCTCTTCCAGAGCAGATTGATTGACTGATTAATAACTGTTGTCTGGGAGCCAAAACAGATGTATCCCTGGGAAAAACAGTGACTTGAAGTTCCACCTCACATTCTTTCCATTCTAGCTGAGACTCACTTCCTCAGAATGCTGGAACCCTTATCCAACAGGGAACCAGTCACTGACAGTTTTCTGTGCTGAAACATCAGTCACGCACCAACATGGCTGAGTCCTGCTGCCCTGAATTCTGGAGGAATTCTTGGTCTGTCCCCTGAGCTAAATTCCATACCTGCTACTCTGTCCTCCCATGTGCCTGTCTACTAGTGGCACGTTCTGAGTTAAGCTAAGCATGAAATATGGTAGAAAGTTATCATTTTGTTCTGGAGGAAAGAATGGTGAGTTGCAGCACATGGGTGTCCTATGGCATCAGGGTCCCAAAGTGGCATTGTCAGCTTGGGGTCATCTCCAGTCCCACACTGTGCTGTAGACAAAACCATTTCTAGCATGTTCCATTAGAGGCACTTCCTTCCGTTATGGCCACGGCAAGGCTCTGAGTCAAACTGGAGGCAACAAGGGAAAATCTGCCAAATCGACAGCTAGGGGTGAAGAGGTGGAAAGGAAGGCAGAATGTTCTGTCACCTGTGGGAGGCCTTGAGGGGAAGCAGATGATGGGAAGGTGGGTTCTCCCCCAAAGCTCTGGAATCTCACATACCCAGCAAATGCTGGCTTTGCTGTCATGTGATCAGAGGCGTTAAATTGGAGTTCTCCTCAGAGGTTCTCTCTCCATCTGGTGACTTCTTCCTTCTTTGACCACCTGAAAAACACGGTTTGTAAGTATCAGCCTGTAAGACTGGGGGAACATCCACACTCTCTCAGTGGTCTGAGCTCTCTTACAAATGGAAGCAGAAAGAGACACAAAGCCCTTGACAGCTTGGCTGAAACTAATCTGCATTGTATCCTGGTGCTGATGTTGGCATGTTTACATCTTGAAGGATTAGAATACACCTTCCACATAAGACGACATCTCTGAAAAGCCACAAACCCAGGCTAGTGCCTGGAATTGAGATTTTCTGGAGGGGACTGAGTAAAGCCCATATGATACCTCAGGACCATGCCTTCCCCACCCCTGAGGGCCCCAGGCCCATTGACTGCCAGAAACATTTTGGCAAAGGATTGGTCTCACAGTCTTTGATGTCCCATGAGCCATTTCCAGGGACCTACATTCTCTAATTCAATAAATCTTTATTTGCAAAAACAGGAAGGTCAGAATTGACCCGTGGGCATGGTTTGCAGACTCCTGTCCTACAGGACCAACAACTGAATAGGATAGATCCCCAAAGCATCAGGGGTGCAGTACTGGTCCAAGCCTGACTGGATTTCCATGACTGAACCTAATAGCTGGGAGCCATTCCCAGGGACCTGCATTCTCTAGTGCTGAAGCAACCTCCCTTTTACATTGGGGCAGGTGGGGATAATCACATAATTGTCCTCAAGAATGGAGGAGCAATCTGTACCCAGGTATGTTGTTCTTAGGAAGGAATATTTGCACCTTGTCTCCACCATTGACTTCTATCTATGGAGGATGTTGCTCTCTTTCTTATTGAGTCTCCTGGACACTAATTCTTTCTTAAAAGGACTAGATAGTACATGTTATGGGTTTGTGGGCTATATGGTCTCCGTTACAAGTACTCAACTCTGCCATTGTGGCCATGGTTAACAAATGGGTCTATGATACAATAAATTTTCACAAAAATAGGAAGGTCAGAATTGACTGTGGGCATGGTTTGCAGACTCTTGTTCAGGAGGACCAACAACTGCAATGGGCTAGATCCCCAAACTATCACGGTTGCAGTATCGGCCCAAGCCTAACTGTGGATTTCCATGACTGGACCTCATTAGGGTTCCAAAAGGAGTCAGCGGTTCCTCTTCCAGGAGGAAGATCCTAACATGCTTTGCCTACTAACGGACAGCAGCGTGGCTTTCATGGCGGTGAAGAACTAGCTACTCACTCAGGGTTCTCAGCAGCCTCCTGCCCATGGTTTCCTCAAAGTCGCTACTGAGAGGACTGGTTTCTGTATCCAGGTTGATGTTACAACATTCACTATCTGATGATGACAGAAAGAAAAGAAGAGAGAACTCAAGTTGTTTCAACCTACAAGCTCAGGGATCAAGGCAGGGTGATTCTAGGTGAGGTCCCTCAGAAGGTCAAAGTTTCAGATAAGACGCAAGGCAGGGGTGGGCATAACAAGGGAGGATGCCCAGGAAGGTGTTGGCTCTAATTATTTAGCAAGAGGCATTTTAGTGCTACAAAAGAAACAAAGAGATGGAGCAGGAATCCAAAAATCCACGTGAAGTGGGAAATGATTCCCTCTCCTCAAACACTTTTGACAAGAAAGAGTGGAAGAGAACAATATATTCTCCACCCAATATCTTTGCCAGACAAAAAGCACATTTGAGGACAGGTGGGGATGTCTCTTTCTTCTACTTGCACAAACCCTGGAAAGCCACAGAGTTCAATAACAATTAAGTGCATGCTCAGGTCTTCTCCCACAGGACTCTGAGGATTCAGATAACCACAGAGTCTCAGGACCCAGAAGAAGGCCAAGCCCTACTGCCAATACAGTAAGAACCCAGCCAGGGAGGCAAAGTGTTCTGTTGGATAATGCACTGCACCAAAAGCCACGAGGCTAAGTTCACTTCTAATGCAGCATTTGGACTTGGGCAAGCCATTTCCCTTCTCTGGGCCTCAGGGTTCCTCAGGTATCACATGAGGAGTGTGGACTAGATGCTCTCCAACGACTACCCCATCACTTCTGTTCTTATTCCTTTGCTACATTCTCTTGCTACATGCTTCAGCTACTAAATTTGGTGTGTGTGGGAGAAAAAGAACATCAGTTCTAAATTCAGGTCCTGGAATGGTGACTATGTGTGTCCCAGATTTTCTGGGTTAGCCACAAGTTCAAACATACTGTCTCATTGACCTTAAATATCTATGAGTATTTTTTCAGGTTGTTGCTCTGGACTTGAGGGGTCTCATACTATGGATTTAGCCTGAAAGTTCAGGTAGGGGAATTGCTGGCCTGGGGGTGAGCACAGGAGGCTGCTGACAGCTTGGGCAAGTGTACCTCAGTGAAGCAAACACAGGAGGACCTCTGGACTGCTGGGACCCTGGAGGCTTAGAGCAACACCGCTGACGAGGATGCATTCAATCTCTCTGAGGGAGATGATATGATCAGAGACCCCAGGAAAGGTCTTACAGACTACCTTTGATTTCTTGGGTCCAAAGGAAGGGAAGAGTCCTGCCAGTAAGAATGATGGCTGACTTCATTTTCCTAATCTGTGAGGTAGGTCTAATAGTAACGACCTAATATTTATAAAGCATGGTACCAAACACTGTCAAGTGCCTTTAATGTGTTATCTCACATACAACCAAAGCTACTTCATGAGATAGCTACCATGATTTATATCTACTAAAATAAAGAAACTTATCTATTAAGAAAAAGAATCTGAGTCATAGGTTAAGTACTTGCCTAAAATTGCACAGCTCCTAAACGAAGGAGCCAAGGTCTGAATCCAGGCAGAAATATAGCTCCCAAGCCTGCCCAAACAGTTTTCCTGGGAGAATGAATTAGACAAGGCCTGGTGCATGGTAGATGCTCAGCAAATGTTAGTTTCCTTTCCCTGGCTGTGTAAGGAGATGGGAGGTTTAACACAGGGCTGGCGCCCCAGGGCTCCCCATTACCCAGCTTACCCTGAGCCATCCCAGTTCCCAAGGACGATGATCCCCCTTGCCCCTCTGGGCCCAGGCCACTCTCCCTGACCTGTTGTGGGCACAGCTGCAGGTGACAGCGAGAGCTGCTGTGTACTGTGCTCCTCGAAGTCAGTCATTTCCTCTTGGGTGAAGGCCATCTCCTCCATCCTCAAGTACACGACCTCGCTGGGGCTTCGCAGCCCATCTGAACGGCTGCCTAGGGAGGACAGTCAGCGCATTGCCTCTCTGCCTTGGAGAAGACCTGAGGCTCCAGGAGGCACAAGAGATCAGCTCTGGGCAAGGCTGGTGGAGGAAGGCAGGGATGTCCTCACCCCACACCAGCCCGGCCCATCTGCTCAACAGACTTACACGGCAGACTGTTCCTGTTGCTCAGGAGTGTGGCGACAGGGTCATCCTTGGGGGTCAGGGGTGTGCCCCGAGTTGTGGGGGCCTTGGTGGAGTCTCCGTCAGTGAAGGCCTCCATGTCAGGGGACTGGGGTGAGCTGTCCATGTGGCAGGCGGTGAGTGCATTCTGATACTGCTGCCGTGTGATCTGGAAGGAGCGGGCAGAGGCTCTGGGGTAGCTGGGCAGAGCCTTCCCTGCTGCAGCCAGCCTTCCTGAGCTCAGAAGCAGCCCCACTGGGATGCTGTGGGACCCCTGGCCTCTGAGGCCTGAGATGCATGAACAGGGGGCCTTACCCACGCCGGACCGGCCCAGCAGTTGAGGGACGATGAGGGGCCCTTTGCTTATTTGCTACCAGTTCCCACTGTTCATGTTTTACTGGCTCCTGGAAGAGCCAAACCTTCTCCTGAGACTGTGGAGGGGACACATGGCATCTGCAGTTAGCGTGGGGGGGGGGGCGGTGTTTGCCCATGGAGAAGTTTAAAACATATTTACATCAACCAGCACTGTGAATCCTTGTTTCCAGTGAAAACAGCTAAATTTTTGTACCACCCTGTATAGGAATGTGATACTGCTAATCACTGTCTGCCCTTGGGGGAAAAATGAAAATGGCACATGGCACAATAACCTTCCCAAGTCCTACTATTTCCTAGTGTTTTCGTCCCTTCTTCACTGCATTAAAGCTAGAGAACTGGCAAAGCTACAAATTCTGCTCCCTATGCCTTTAGTGGCAGGACTGGCATTACATGTCGGAAGAGTAAAGATTTCTGGCTGGACATAAGAGAGGAGATGACTCAGGTTTACACACTGGGATGGAGAGTGGGCCTAAAGTTGGCTTGCTATCAGGTAAGGTCTCTTTCCACAGTGGACTCTTGTCTGCTGCTGACAGGACCCATTACTTTCCTGCACATTATCAATCCTTTCTTCTTTAACAAACTTCAGGATATTTTATATGAGAAGCAAGCAAATTCGAAGCACATATAATCCAATTACAAAACACATATTAAGAGTGTATGTCTTTTTGCAACATTTATGGCACACATATATGCAGAGATTCCAGGCTTCTAATCATACTGCCACCCATTTGAGTGGGCAAATATAGTTCTCTTGATGGTTCAAATCTCAAACCTCATCATTGGAATTACCTGAAAGGCTTATTAAAACAAGATTGCTGGCCCAACTCCCAAAGTTTCTAATTCACTAGGTCTGGGGTAGAGACTGAGAATTTGCATTTCTAGAAAGTTCCTGGTGATGCTGATGCTGATGCCGCTGGTCTGGAGATCAATCACCCTTTGAGACCACTGACTTAAGACCTAGTTAGAATCAGACACAGGCCCTACTCAGGTTTTGTTTTTTTTCCCCTCTAAAAGATTTTAAAGGATAAAGAGCAGCAAAGTGTTAACAATTGGCTTTGATATTTTTCAGGTTATTATGACATAGAGCCATGTGTCTCCACTTAGCACTTACACAAAGTCTTCAACAGACTCAATGTCCTTATTGAGAACACCTGACTTTTGCAGCTCCCTCTGCTGGGAAGTAAAAAGTTGGGTTCCAAAATTTACCCCAAAGCTGGGGAAATTTGGCCCTAACACCAAAGGGCAAGAAAATTTCCTAAATGACACTTGATAAGCCCCCAAAGCAGGTGATCTTACTCTATTTGGGCTCTTTAAAGTAGTTAGTATAGATTTGGCTTCTAGTTTAGTCAAAGAAGGCCAAATGACCCTGCACCTAGAAAATATGGCAAGAAGCACAATGCCTGCTCAAGGCTAAGGTTCAAGTTCCAGTTTTGCCACTTTCAAGCTGAGGACTTTGACCAAATCGTTAACTTCTCTGAGCTTGTAAAAGAGGCCCGGAGATAATGAGATTATGTAAGTGAGTGTGTTATACGACTGTTAGGAATGATTGTTTAAAAGATGTCCACATATATGTCTCACAGTCTGACTTTATAATGAGCACACATTTCAAAGACCGAGTGAAACTTACCATTTCACTATGTCTAACTGTCCAGGGCACACCATGAGGTGGGCACGGGGGAAGGAGCAGCGTCCCCTCTGCCCCCAGAGCCAGTGTGACTAGAAGTGCTGTGAAGGCAAGACTAGGTTTTGGGAAAGTAAATCCACAACCAAAAAAAATAAAAGAGAAAGTAGGGGATGGAGGGAGATTCCAAGTAGGGACGATGGGAAAAGGAAGAAAAGAGACAGTGAGTGAAGAAAAGAGAGGAGGAAGAGAGAAGGAAGGAGTGCGTTTTGGTTTGATTTTGAAATGGATTTGCTTGGTAGATTGGCTGCGTCCCCCTAGCTAGAACAGCCTCGTGGGAGTGACCACTGCTGCGAATTCTCTCTCTTATTTAACGAATTTATTAATTCTTGGAAAGGTCCTGCTCAGGTTGTGCCAGCGGTGAGCTGTACCACTCACTCTCTCTCTGCTCTTATGAAACAGTGACATGCCCCTCCAGTTACCTGGAATCAAGGATTCAGGAACTCTAACCCTCTCTTTAAGGATTGTTTTGGAGGAAAGGATGGGAATAAAGTATCATTCTTGGTAATAATACTGAGTAAATGAAATAGGGTTCCTTGTCAGGTGCTGAGTCCCTGTCATTGGAGGCACTCACACAGAGGTTAAACTACCACTTGTCAGGGATGCCACAGAGAAGACTGAGCCAACCACCGCCAGGATCTAATATTAGTGGGAAGAAGCACCACAGGGCGTATGAAGATGAGCATAGTGGGTGGTTGGCCGGGCACACTGTGAGGAGCAGGGGTTGGGTGAGGGTCTGCACAGTTGGTGGGTGGTTATATAAAAGGAAAGGTACCACCTATTGGTTACCTCCTCTAAGTATCTCACAGCCTCGCTTTCACACTGTTTCCTCTTTTTAAATTAAAAAAAACCCCACGAACTACTGCCATGTCAACACGTTGCCTTAAAAGAAATTGTTGACAAGGCACCACTCTGGAAAATGTATTCAGGGAAGCAACCTCTGCTCGGCTTCTCCCAGCTGCATTTCTAGATTCAAGCACCACTTCTCATCTGTTCCCTCCCTTTGTTAAAAACCTATGACAACTTCTTTTTAGCTAGAAAGAAGCTAGTCATGGCACTGTCAAATAGAAATATAACATGATTCACATGGGTAATTTAAAATTTTCTAGCAGTTGCAAAAAAAAAAAACAGTAAAAAGAAATAGGTGAAGTTAATTTTAATATTTCATGTATATCCCAATATATCCAAAATAATTTCACTTCCACATATAAATAATTTAAAATTATTAATGAGGAATTTTCTTTGAAGTCCGATGTGTATTTCATACTTATAGCACATTGATCTGAATAAGCCACATTTCATGCATTCAACCACCACCTGTGGCTGCTGCACTGGACAGCGGAGGTCTCACAGCCCAACCTGAACTGCTGTGCCCAGGTTTGGTGACCTGGCCTTGCCCGGCCAGCAGCGTTCTCACTGCCCCCCAGTGCAGGGCCACGGGTCCAGCCTTGCTCCTCTCTCTTCCCAGACCCTTGAATGCACAGTGTCTACCTGCCTTCTACACTCCTGTTTAGGGTGTCCCCCCTGCATGGCATTGCCTGTACTCCTCTGTTATTCTTTCCCAGTTCCTAAAGGTCCAGTACATTGTCCAGCCAATATAGTGCTTAAAAAATGCTGCATAATTTTGTCATCAATTAGATACTACCCTGCATGGGTCACTGCTATTTAACTTAAGTTTCCTCTCTCTAACCAGATCTGAATCTACTTATAAGGCACAGGATATATTTTAATATTTTTATTGGATTTATATTTCTTTATTACATCTCATGGTACCCAGAACCATCGTTAATGCTCAACAAATACTGATTTAGTTGATTGAGGGAATCAAACCACTTTTCAAAAGATAACATGTTTTTGTTTTCACTGTTGTAGGTAAAGCATTTATTAGAAATAGCTTGAATTCAAATTGTCTTCTCTTATATATTAACCAGTTAAGAATTCAAGTACCTCAAACTTACAAAGGAAATGGAAGTGTATTTATCTTTAAGCTAGCAAAAAGCAAGGATGCCCTTTTGGACATTTTGCCTTAGCAGCCAAGGTGTCCAGAAGTTAACCTTTAGGCTAATATGATATCTCCTGACATTTTATGATGTTCTGCTTATATTTTCAACTTTCAGGCAGTTTATTCATCCCTTAAAACACAGGCTGCAGTTTAGGGATACAGCCACCAGATGGTGATGGGCATCTTGGTCAAGAAGTTCTGTTTGATTTTTCTTTAATATTTCAACTTCTTTAGTGAATTTTTCTTCCACATGTATAAGACTGAAACAGGATCTGCACCTTTCACCTCTCACAAAAATCAACTCATTGTGGATAACAGACTTAAGCCTAACACATGAAACTATAAGAATTCCAGAAGAAAATGTTGTAAAAACCCTTATGGACATTGGCATAGGTAAAGAATTTATGAAGAAGACTCCAAATGCAATCATAGCAACAACAAAAATAAATAAATGGGGCCTGATCAAATTAAAAAGCTTCTGTACAGCCAAGGAAACTATCATGAGAGCAAACAGATAAGCTATAGAATGGGAGAAAATACTCACATGCTACACATCCGATAAAGGGCTGATAACTAGACTCTATATAGAACTCAGGAAAACAAGCAAGAAAAAAATCAAACAACCCTATCAAAAAGTGGGCAAAGGACATGAACAGAAACTTTTCAAAAGAAGATAGACTAATGGCTAACAAACATATGAAAAAATGCTCAATATCTCTAATCATCAGGGAAATGCAAATCAAAACCATAATCAGATATCACTTAACTCCAGTGAGAATGGCCATTATCAAAAAGTCCCAAAACAATAAATGTTGGCATGGATGCAGGGAGATAGGAACACTCATACACTGCTGGTGGGGCTGCAAACTAGTACAACCTCTGTGGAAAGCAATATGGAGATACCTCAAAGAGCTACAAGTAGAACTACCATTTGATCCAGCAATCCCATTACTGGGCATCTACCCAAAGGAAAAAAAAGACATTCTATAAAAAGACATCTGCACTCGAATGTTTTTAGTGGCACAATTCACAATTGCAAAGATATGGAAACAATCCAAGTGCCCAACAATACATGAGTGGATTGATAAAATGTGATATTATGTATACCATGAAGTTCTACTCAGCCACAAAAAACAATGGCGATCTAACACCTCTTATATTATCCTGGATAGAGCTGGAGCCCATTCTACTAAATGAAGTATCATAAGAATGGAAAAACAAGCACCACATGTACTCACCATCAAATTGGTATTAACTGATCAACACTTACCTGCACATATAGTAGTAACATTCATCAGGTGTTGGGCAGGTAGGGGGGAAGGAGGGGATAGGTATATACACACCTAATGAGTGCAGTGTGCACAGTCTGGGGGATGGACATGCTTGAAGCTCTCACTTGGGTAGGGCAAAGGCAATGTATGTAACATAAACATTTCTACCCCCGTAACATGCTGAAATAAATAAAATAATCCCAAATGCACTTAAAATAGAATCCACATTCCTTACTAAGGCCTAAAGATACCAGGCGACACTGCCTCTGAAACTCCATTCTCATCTTGCTCCAGCCTCTGCCTTTGCACCATGGGCCAGCACTCAGACCCTCTGCCTAGCTCCTTCCTGCCTCTGCTGTTCCTATCTTGAACATTCTCCCCACTTCTCCTTTCTGTAAAAATATCCTTTTCTCAGCCTGTTGTAACACTCATTTTAAGAGCAGCCTTCCTGCCTTGTCTGCCCAGTCACTGTCTATCCCACAGCTCTGTTTATTTCCTTCAGGGCCCTTATCATTGCCTGAAATTACCTAGGTCATTGATGTGGTTACTTGTTAATCATCTTCCTCTCCATTAGCATGCAAGCTCCTGAAAGGCAGCAGCTCGCTGTCTTCTCCACAGTACCCCATCAATGCCTCGCACAGAGCAGGCATTCATGAAATATTTGTTGACCCACATTCATATTATGATGTTCCTTTTCTTTTCCCACAAACCAAGGTCTGCATTAGCAAAGAAAGGGTTTCAAGACTGGATGCCATCGGGGGGCTGCGGTTTTCTAAGGGTTATTTAACCTCCTTGGCACATTAGACTTGGTGAATGTCCACAGTCATGCACACCTGTAAGTGTTGATGGTTAGTTCCTAAAGTCACTTCTCCCTGGCTCCTTCAGTTCTGATTTCCTACAACTCTCCCTAAAGCAAAGTGATTTCAGGGTTTGGACTCTGGAGGCAGAAAGACTCAACTTGGAAGCATGGCTCTGCCACTTCAAAATATAAACTATGTGACCTTATGCTCCGTAAGCCCCAAACTCTTCATCTATAAAATGGGAATGAAGTAGAACTTACCTCATTGGTGGCTGTGAGATTAAATGGATAATTCAGACACAGGGCTCAGCAAAGTGCCTTGCACAGAGCAACCCACAAACAGTAGTTATTACCCTCCCTAGCCTCCAGGTTCTGTCCCCAACTCTGGTAGCATTCAATGGTTACTTTCATGGGAACTTTAATTGGCTGAAGTCAGTTTTAGCTCAGGGTATCCACATAGTTCTGGAACACAGAAAGCCAGCCACTCACTGTTATCCAAATAATCAGGGCGTGTGTTCTGGATAGAAGGGAAGGAAATTCTCCCACCTTTGTGATTTCAGTATACCTCCCAGCCTACAACTGGGACAACAGTTACCGAGTGAGCTCACTGGGTATTTTGTTGGACTGGGATAAATGGGACTCTAGCCAGTGCTCAGGTCTAATTTTATAATGGTTTCCAGAATGCTAGAAAATAAAACTAAACTTAAGGAAACAAGAGAAAAGGGGAATTTTTAGAAGGCTCCTGTGCAATGACAATCCCAGTGAAGGACATGAAGAAATAGCTCCCCTCCTCTTTAATTACAAGGCAACGAGCCTTGCTGCCTCTCTCCATGGCATTTGAGAATGGTTCTCTTCAAATAGCTCAGTGCTCTTAAGGGGGGTGTTACTTTAGTTACTAGAAAAATTTTAATTAGTTACTACAAAATTTTTTCAGTTAACATATAGGCTCAATTGTGTTTTAGACTTTCAATATTAAGGTGTAAAAGTATATTATCATATGTAAAAATCATAGCATGGTTTCTTCTATATACATGGTTTATTAATCACTTGTAAATTTATCTTGAAAAAAAAAGAACAAAACCAAATGGGTGCCAATGGTGGAGGATCCAAAGGAAACAGTTCTGGCAGCAACTTATCTCACTGTCTCATGCAAGCTCATCTTAGGGGGCTTTGTGCCTCAGTTTCCCCACATGCAAAGTAGGGGTCAGGAGTTCTTTAAAAATTGACAAATAATGATCAGTAATAAAGCTTACTGGAAACAGGGCCTTTATAAAGCTGGGAGCAATTGCCACCCACATCACCATATTGGAACGGGGGGAGTGGGATGCACACCATGCATCTGGCAGAGTCTCCTGGTCCCCACTCCCCCACTAGGAGAGAGGACTGCCTTCCCGGGGCAGTTACCTTTACAAACTGCACGTCGCTCAGGATGTGGACTGAGTAGTCTGGCGTGTAGAGGTTGTTGTTGCTGCCGAACAGCTGGGTGTTGCTGCCCCCAAAGTCGCTGCGCTCACGGTTTGGAGACTCAGAGCGATTCAATCCGCTGCAGCGCGAAGGGGACCGGTTTACTGCAGATGGTGAGGGAGAGGGAGAAAAGACAAGGGGTGGGTGGGCAGGAGGGAGAGGGAGTGGAAAGAGGGAGAGAGAGAGGTGTTGTTTACCGAGGTCCCATAGGACTTTCAGGCAACGGCAACAGTGGGTGGTGGAGCCCAGGAAGGAGTTGAGCTGCTTTGCTGATGTTTATTCCTACGAGGAGCAAATACCCAACAGAACTCACGGCTCCATGTGGCTGGGGCTGCTCCCCGCAACCTCTCCTAGTTAGGAGCTGGTGTGTTTGTTTCCCCAGACAGATTCTTGTCCCTGCCTTCAGGTTAGGTGCAGGAGGACCCCGAATGAGATGCGGTCGGTGCTGCGAGCGTGGTTTGCTACCGCAGATCACGAGACCCACTTCCATGGCAAGGTATTTTACACAACCTCCACTCACACACCTTGTTTGAGAAAGGCCAAGGCCGCAGGTGTGCCCTCAAAACCATCTGTCACAGCACAGACAGACAGTCCCCACTGCGGTGATGCATTTTGGTGGGGATAACTCAGGTCTGCCACAGCACTGGCAAGGCCTGGCACAGGGGTACACATAGGCCCACAAACCATATGGATAAAACTTACAAGCTATAAATCACATCAATAAACTGTCAAAATATGTTCTATCCTTGCCTTTGACAAATGCTCCTAACAACCCAGAAGGCCAGGTTTGACTCCTTAGAATTTTGTGCCAGAAAACAGGGCTGCGTGGGGAGAGCCAGCCCTGACCCTAGGGCTTCGGGACCCCTCCTCCCCCAGGGCTGTCTCAGTGGGGAATTCTGGGTTCCTGGATATCTCAACTGTGGTCTAGAAGGAAGGACACAGGCTCTGGCTGGGCAAATCCCTTTGGCCCTGTAGACTCCGTGCCCTACACAGAAGGCCAGGACTGATAATGGCCAACATGGAGCTCTCTAAAGTGTGGACCCTGGGCTGGACTCTCTTTTGCACATGCCTAAGCCAGGGGACTGGAGTAATACACAGGCCTTCTGTAAAAGATCTCCTAAATGTTCAGTCAGGTTCTTTTTACATTTTGAAGAAACACCTCTTAGGAAAGCTCATTTAAGACCATGTTAATTGGTTTCAAAATGGACAACACAAGAGAGGGTACTGAAGGTGACCCTAACATTATCTCAACCCTGGAATAAACCTGAGCAAAAGACTGCAAAGCCCCTCAATCCCTCTCCTTCCCAACTGATACCACCCTGCATTTCTTCCAAAAAAATGGAGAACAGGAGGCTGTCAGCCTCTCAGAACACAGATTTACTTCCAGGGACTCAAATGAAGAATCAGGTTCTTCAAAGATTCTGGTCCTTGCTCTTTGAGGGTAGAACCTTGGGAATCTAATTCTGTCTCTTGAGATAATGCTGCCATTGATCAAAATACTTGATTAGCATCTATTTGGAGGGAGCCATTGATGGCTGATGATCTGTTTTGCTGTCAAGCTGCTGTTGTCTGGCAAATCATGTAGCAGAAAGATTAAAATAACAACAGGTTGAATATTTTCTCATTAGAACCATAATAACCACTGCCTTGATATGATTATAGAATTACAGATTCCACTTCCAGTCTTCCCCCTTCTCAGAAAATATCATCCACACCTATGAAGTCGCCGAAACCAGAAACCTGGAGGGTCACTCTTGACTCTAGTCCTCGCCCCACATTGAGTGCTGCTATCTGCCTCTGACACAATGAACCCATCTATCCTATCTCTGTCTCTACTCAAGTTCCTGTGACCATCAGCTTCACCTGGGCCAGTATCCCCACTTATAATTTATAATCTGTTTTTGCCTCAGCTGCTAGAATCACATTTTAAAAACATATCAGCTTTTGGCCGGGCGCGGTGGCTCACGCCTGTAATCCTAGCACTCTGGGAGGCCGAGGCGGGCGGATTGCTCAAGGTCAGGAGTTCAAAACCAGCCTGAGCGAGACCCCGTCTCTACCATAAAAATAGAAAGAAATTAATTGGCCAACTAATATATATAATATAAAAATCAGCCGGGCATGGTGGCTCGTGCCTGTAGTCCCAGCTACTCGGGAGGCTGAGGCAGGAGGATCGCTTGAGCCCAGGAGTCTGAGGTTGCTGTGAGCGAGGCTGACGCCACGGCACTCACTCTAGCCTGGGCAAGAAAGCGAGACTCTGTCTCAAAAAAAAAAAAAAAAAAAAAAAAAAAACATATCAGCTTTCTATTGTATCTGAATACACAAAACTCCTTGCTGTGGCCCTTAAAGCCCTATGACCTGGTCCCTGTTTTCCTGTCTGAACTCATCTTGGGGCCTCCCTTCTCCTCTCCTGCTTTGCTCTAGCCCACTGGCCTCCATGGGCACCTTCAATCATATAAGCTTCCCTCCCCACTGACAAATGCCACATTCCCTGATGCCCCACCCCAACCTCTACCCCCAGCTCATGGCCATTTGCTTCTCAGGCATTAACTCTCACCTGTGGTTCCACCTGCTCTCAAGACCTTGTATGGCTACCCTAAGAAGATTCCCCATTTTCCCCTATGACTGGCCCCCCATTCGTTCCTTCAATGCACCTTTCATAAGTATTAATTAATTACACATTTGTATTTATTTGTTATATCTACTTAATTCAACTTTAAATTCCATGAAGGCAGAGACCTTTTCTTTCCTGGTGGTCACCACTGTATGCCCAGTCTCTAGCACAGTGCCCGGCTTAGAGAAGGTACTCAATAAAAATGTATATTAATAGAATGAATGAATCAGCACCTAAGGCTTCTTTAAGAGGAGTCTTACAATTTAGAATCTCAATTTTGTTCAAATCATCCTGGAATCAGAAAGCCTTTCCTTTGCAACCTGAAGTCACTTTGGGGAAGCTGACTTCTCCAAGAATTTAGGGGTGGGGGGCAGGACACTCAGGAAATGCAGCCAGGTAAAGTTAAATAGTGTGCAACTAGAATCAAAGGGCACCACGATGGAAGAGGCCATAGGGAATATCAGGACTTTCTCTTTGTTTGTTTAATAAGGGAATGTGAAACAGGGGTCCTGGAGTCAGGTGACAAGGGCTTTACTTATCCACTGGGTGATTGGGCCCAGATCCTCTTCCAGAGTGACCAAGGACTGAGAGGGACAGTGCCAGTGCCATGGAGAATATAGCAAAGCACCAGGGTCAATGGCAGTGGTGTTAGACAGAAAAAGGTGCCTCTCATTGCTGGTCCTGGTCCTGGTCCCTTGAAAATAAACTGACAAGTTCATCCATTTGTGGTTGTCATAGTGTGGTGGCTGGCTGCAAAGGTCAGCGTTCTTCCCTCCCGGCTAGTTGTGGGAAGGGAGGCAGGTAGTCCTGCAGGAGGGTGGCTTCTTTGGCATGAGAGCAGAGTCTGGCAAACCACACCTTTACCTGGTAGGTCGTGACCTCAGCTCAGTTTGGGCATGACCAAGGGGAGAGAGTGAGAGCAGAGCCTGAAGCTTCAGTCACTCCAAGAAGATGCCATCTGTCCTTAATAAGCCTCCACTTTTCCTGGCCAGACATGGCTTCATACACCCCACACCTGCTGTTCTGCATCCTTATCTCTGATGTCACAATTCAAGAAACGTTCAGGGAGGATGACAGGGCAACAGCCCTATCTTATCTACTGAACTTTCATCCACAGAAACTTCTCCTGAATCACATCTATTCCCTGTTGGAAACAGAGGTAACAATGACATCCCAGTTCCCTCCGAAGCTCTCACTGTCTTACTGGTACCCAGCGCAGATGTCACCCACAGGGCCTTGCACTTCGAACACAAGCTGCATCACTGTTACACTGGGGGGAGAGACATGTCTTTTCTTTTAAGTAAAGACAATGCTATTGAAAGTTTATTCCTAAAATCCTAAAGGATCCCCAGTGCCAACAAATACAACTGTCTTACAAAGGCAGGGTCTATAAAAGCAATTTTTAAAAGAAAAAAGAACTGTCATTCCATCACAAAGAAAGTCTCAGCTCATCTTAGTATTATGCAAGATCCATGTTTTTGTGTCCCAGAGTCTAACATTCCTCAGTAGGTAGGATGCTGATGACTCGGCATTTTGGTAATTGTGCACATATACTCAGAGGTTTCAAAGCAAGGGAAATGGAAATGCTTTTAATAAAAAAAAGCAGAAGAAATCAGTAACAGACGAGTGTCCCAGCAGCATGGCAAACTAGTTCAAGTTGTATATCCCCACTGGCATTTCCTAAGAGCACAGAGGCACAGCTTGGGGGAGTGAAGTGAGGAGGAAAATCCAAAGTATAGTGCAAGGAGGTCTGAAAGAAGACAGATCAAACAGTGATGCATAAAACCGACCACAGAACCTGTTAACAGGAGGTGTGTCAAGCTGCCAACACATCCCTTGCCCATTCTTGTTTTTATATCATACCCTCAAGTTGACCCTTGTGTGACTGGGTGGTTGGGAGCAGGATGTTCTGCTCTAGACCCCCAGCAGCTGTGGAGAAGCATAGCAGACCTTATCCCTGCCACCTCTGAGTGGTCACTCTGCAAGGGATAGCTGTGCAAGTTGGCTACTCGGCGTTACTGAGGTTGGGTAGAAAAGACACTGCAGTAAATTGGGAATGGCGTGGCAGAGAGCATGGAGAAGGATTTCACAGTGTAATTGGGGTTGGATGGAATCTTCTCTCACTCTGCACTAATAGGCAGGGTCCCTGAAAACCTATACATAGCTCTGGGACTCTTGCTTCACTTGTGACACCTGTATCCAGGGAGCCTTTGCAACCCTATCCTGGAAGCAGGACCTAAAATACAGCAGTAGAATGCCCTACTCCCCTTTTCCATACGGGGATTTGAGGGAAAAGGAGGGTTCAGTTGCTGCCTGCCTAGGTCTTCTGTGGCATCAGTGAGGGGCAAACGGGAACAGCCTACTTTGGTCATGGTCACTGTGCCATGGGCCTTCTGTGTTCTCCAAAATAGATGGGGGAGTTTAAGTGCATAGGCTTATAAGAGTATAAAACTAGAATTATTAAAATTCATCATTCTGGGGTAACAGTCAACATCAGACAGCCAAATGCCAAAAGCCGCCCTCTGTCAAAGCTACGATGTGAACTCTGCAAGTCAGCCCAAGTTAGGATCCCAGATGAACTCGCTCACGTCACATGGAGCTTTAATGGTTCCCAAATGTTCACTGCACAAGAGCCAACCCAAGGGCATATTTCCACTTCCCACATTTTGCAAAGTAAAAAGATTATTTTTAGGGACTCCCTATATATTCTAGGAGAAAACTCTATCATCACTGATCTCAAATCACATTATGAAGGGACAATTGAACACTGAAAAAGAACCCTTGGTTCCAATGTCTCTCCTGTCTTCGTGCTTTTGTGGATTTGAAAGGACAGTTGCTGGGAACTCAAAATGATCTCCACTTCCAGGAGAAAAAAGAAGGAATAAATCTGGGCAGAGGGAATGATAACAGCAGGAGGAAAGTGTACTTTCAGGGGCTTATCAGAAATGTCATTTTTAAATAGAAGCACCTGCAAAGTTGGCCAATTACACCACACTCTGGAGGTAACCCACAAACCACTGTGCTCTCCTGATTTCAAACTAAGGCTCAAATTGAAAGCAACTCCCTATGGATTATGATGGCAATATTTGGTGGAGGGACACCTGGCCTCAACCAGGGTGAGTACCAGATTCATTAGCATGGCTGCTTTCAAAATGCAAATAAACTCTAGCCCTCTAGGGGGCGTGACGTGCCTGTGTTCAGAGGTGCAGCCAGCTCCCAGCAGGATCTCAGAGATTCCATTCCCTCTACCTACTTACTACACACAGGACACTGACCCAGTGGCTTCCTTTCTCAGAGCCTGTTTCCTTATCCCTTATTGTCCAATAATAATTCCTGTCTATCTATCTCCCAAAGTGGTTGTGGGGTCAAATAAAACAATGACAGAGTTCTCTTAATGTATCCAGATCGGAAATCAAGCATAAGGCCAGAAGGTGTCCAGAACTTCTTTCTAAAAAAGCCCAGGCCTCTTGAGGCCTCTTTTGGTGATACGGAACAAAAGCAAAAGTGACAGAGATGACACCATAGCATAGGTCCTGGGGATGTCACCAAGTCACTAGGAAGGCTTGGTGATTAGCTACGGAAACCAGACATTAGAAGGTTGAGAGGAAAGAGCTGAAGGAGAAGCAAGGCACCCTCCACCTCTCGGTGCTTCCCCTGTACCCTTTATTGCTCTGCTCAGCATAGTTAAACCAAGGTGGAAATAAGCTGGCCTTGCTCTCATCTCTTTATCAGTGGGTTTCTGGTTGGGCTGAACACCCACAATCATGGAAAGTGAGGAGGAGGTTGAAAGAGCTCTCAGGGCACATGGGACCACACCAGCCAGAATTGGATCAGAAGTCTCAGTACTTACTGGGGGGTGTGCACAGCAGGAATGAGTCACTTCAGTCTCTGTCTGACACTGGGTTACCATGAACTTTTTCATAATAAATACTGATGAACTAGAATTAACCTTCCTTTAATTGGGAAGTTACAATTAACTAGGTCATTTGGTTAACTGAATGTTAATTAAGAAGGAAAATACACCCTGTTTTGATCGTTTTGGCAGAAAAACTTTTAAAAACTGCATCTTCCTTTCCTGCAGAACCTTCACAGCACGCCCTTGGCATTCACCAAGATTCACTGTATGTGAAGGATCGTGAAGGTCCATGATGTGGTCATTTCTAAATCTGCCGGCATGCAGGAACAGATCATTTAGTTGGTGAGAGGATGCCACATTGGCATCTCACATCAACTGTCCTATCCTGTAGTCATCAGGAAGGCCTCATAGCTTCTCACAAAGCAATAAAAACTTAATTTCTTAGTGGAAAATCACCATTACCATCGAGAGAGAAAGAGAGGGAGTAAACTTTGGTGAAATTTGAGAAGGGGATTAACTTTCCTTGTACAGATAAACATGGGAACCAGATAGTTTTTGATGGAAAAATGTGATTTGGGAAAACATAGAAGTCAACATAAATACTTCTGAAGTTGCAAACAAGGGGGTTTTAGGTCTCAAGTGATAGCCTTTTTAAATGTTGAGGGTCTGCTATCCAGACAAGAAATATAACTGGATTCTTGATGGCTGAGGATATGGTGGGGCTTCTGAATTAGCACCCCAGCACTGGGATAAGGAATACAGATGTAGAGGGTATAGGAAATGGACCATGTTCTAACTGCAGGGAAATTTAGCAAATAAATCCCGGGTTTTGTCATTCTTTGCTCTATGAGCCTAAGAGCACAACCTCTAGAGATGAAAACAATATAAATAGTTTAAGTGATTGTTCAGATTTACTGCATTCTACTCAGTCATTAGGTAATTGTGTAGCTCTATGAGCTCCTTTATTTTATTAAAAAGAAACCCAGTAACCTTTATTTAATTAACAAGAGAGGTTAAACTTAATGAAAAGTTATTTTGAAATTTTTAGATATAGCGTCCTTTGTATGAACAGAGCCAGAGAGAGTATGATCATTACATAGTAATGTTAGTAGGAAGATGAGGACATAGAAGGAAATATGGAAGGGAAATAGGTGGGAAGAAAGAAGAGTATTCCATTATTTCTTCCCATTTATCTCGTGCTATATTCCTCATTCCATCTCTCTGCAGTCAGACAAATGCTGATGAAAAATACTACCCCTCACCCCCACCGTTTTCCTGTATAGATACACAGATATATCCCTGGGACGCAAATTCACAAACGATGCCATTGAATCAGCAATGCCTGGGCTGTGTACACAAATGAGTGTTATTTGTGCAGTGTGTTACATGTTAGTCATGGGAGTGCCTGTAGGAGATACTAGTTCTCATGCAGGACAGTGACAGAGACCAAAGGCTTCTTGCAAACCCCACTGAATCCGTGGAGACCCAAAACACCCATAACATGTTTACCTGGGGAGCCTGCCAGAGAGTCCCCTCTGCTGAAGGCGAAGGTACGAGACACAGAGACGGGCACTAAAGAGTCAGGGGCCAAGGATTTCAGAGTTGCGAAGGGGAAGATAAACACAAAAGGAGAGAGACAAAGAGCAAAGTGGGTGAGAGTCTGTTCCTGGATTTTCACAATATCACATTTCTCTGTAAAAAGGAATCTTGCCTCTGAATATGTGGGAATTCACACCCTCTTACAAAGTCACTCTCCAGAAAGACAAGAAAATAAAATGGACTTTGCTGAACGTCTTCTGAAAAGATGTGCAACAATCTTGGAATCGGAGATGCCAGTGACAAGCACAAGCAGTGCCCCAGTGGGGAGCGCCTGGGCAGCATTCTCTGGGCACCTGTTTTGAGCCAGCAAACATGCCGGGAGCCCAGAGCTGCATCCCCACCAGGCTCTCCCAGCTGCCCCGCACCCTGCTCAACTGCAGGAGGGCGCCTGAAAGAAAAGTGTGTGCTCTTGCTAGTGTGTGCTCCTTGAAGGAGCTGGATCCTGCCTTGGACTCCTAGGACCTCCCTCTGTGGTCACAGTGCTGGTGAGGAACTGTGGCTTGCTAGAGGATCAGGACAAAGGAAGGACAATATTTCTAGCAGTTTTCATGTGAATCAAATTGATTAATTGAATCATAGTCACTCTGTAGCAAGTACAAGTTCCCCAAAGCACTTCTCTTTCTTCCAATTTTCCTTCTCTTTCTTCAGAGTCTGAAATGGTGCTGGCTATTACTTGGGGCCTGTGTGGGGTGGAGTGTGTAGCAATAGTCCAGTCCTTTTCCCATCTTGATCCTGATCAGGTGGTGTTTCGGCATGGGAATCTGTCTTCATGTCTCTTATCTGATCATTCCCAGAGTCCCTTTTATGGAGCTAAATGAAGCCAGTCTTCAGGTGACAGACACTGAAATAGACAGCTTCTGCAGTCTTATTTGCTGCACTAAATGAAAATTCCCTACAAATGTAGGGGAGCGGAAGTGGGGAACTATATAGCTACCCGATAATTATTTACTCTGACATGAGATATTAGTGAATATTTGAAGAGGCCCCTAATATTGTGAGACACACTGGAGAAAGCCTATATTCTCAAGAAGGATCATAGTTTTTCTTAAATTAAATGTATACACAGTCAAGCAGACAGGACACTTGTTCTCTCTATGTCTGCACACCTCTGTGTGCACCTGTCCCAGCTACCCTGAGTTTGGGCAGGGTTTCTCCAGAGTAACAGGCTCATCATGGTCATCCTGGGTTCCCTGGCAATCAGAATCAAGATAAAGAAGACAGCGTGGATTGTGTTCCCTTCGACCCACACAGGAAAACCAGAGACTTCCTTATACCCTCAAGTTCAATTTTGCAGCTTAAGTCACAGGGCCAGTGTTATGGGAAACTCATCATCTCTCTTTTTGCCCTTAAAGGCTCATTAAGGCTGGGTGTAGTGGCTCACACCTGTAATCCTAGCACTCTGGGAGGCCAAGGAGGGAGAATTGCTTGAGTTCAGGGGTTGGAGACCAGCCTGAGCAAGAGTGAGACTCTATCTCTACTAAAAATAGAAAAAATTAGTGGGCTGTAGTGGCATGCACCTGTAGTCCTAGCTACTTGGGAGACTGAGGCAGGAGGATCACTTGAGCCAGGAGTTTGAGGTTGCAGTGAGCTAGGCTGACACTACTATTGCACTCTAGCTGGGGCAACAGAGCAAGACTCTGTCTCAAGAAAAAAAAAAAAAAGAAAGAAAAAGAAAGGCTGATTAAGTTGTTGGCTTCAAGAACAGGAAGAGTTGGCTCAACAAAGATCTTACAAGAGTTTATTGCTTTGTGGCTTACGCTTAAGCTCTCCCTCTACCTATAGTCTAAGGATCTTGGCCAGTGAAAGATGCTGGGTGGCTGGACACTTGGCTGAGCACCCACCCAGAACAACCATGGGGTGTGGCCTGCCTTTGCAGTTATTTCACACTTCACGAAGCAGGGAGGGCTTGGAGGAGGATAAAAACTGTTTCTTTACCCCCACTAGCTAATAATATTTCTTTTTCCTCCTGAAAATTTATAAAGCATGGGGAGGTAAAAAGAGTTTAATGCTTCCTTTTAGTTAACTGGTTTTAAAGGAGAGATCAGTGTTGCAAATTTAGTCCTGTCTCACTGATAAAGAACTAGAGACAGGAAGGAAGAAAAGGAGGAAATCAGACAACATCTTCTGCCTACTTAAGGCTGGGTGTGGTTCCGTCTACTTAAGGCTGTGTTTTTTTTTTTTTAAGAAGGAAAGTCATTTAAATTGGGTAGTCTGGGGAGCCTCATATAGGTCTTTTTTTCCTCAGAATTCCCACCTCTTTTGGTGTATTAGAAGAGCCAGAACATGGACAGCATTTCTAGATAACATGAGAATCCCAGGAGTCATCCCTAATGTGATGGACGGTGGACATCTCCTTTAGAGAACTAAGGTTTACCCAATCCTGCTGCCTGTCCCTGGCCCACCCAGAGTTCTTCTACTGAGTACTGATGATTTCTTCATCAAACCTTGCTTGAAATTTGTTGGCTTATATAAGTATAAAATAACATATAATAATATACCAGGGCTTTAAAAAATTTTACAGATCTCCTTCAACTCAAGTTCTGCAGGTACTTAGAGTTCATTTCAGTCAGCTGCTGGGCTAGGATGTGAAATAACATTGTAAACTGTTCCACTATTTCCACATAGAAATTGCATTCTGAAACATGATGGATCTAAAAATCTGTATTTCAATGCACTGTGTGTACTGAAATGCACTGAACCAGGACACCAGGATGCATCTAGTAAGTTACAAGTTGCTGGGTGATTTGGATCAAGTCATTTCCTTAGTTTCATTCATGTTAAAACAGTCTCTACCCTGCCATGTTCTAGGGACTATGATATCAAGTTCTGGGACCCTCTGATAAATCCCAATATAAAGCACTATGCAAGTATTTTTTTATGAGAGGTAACATCCCATTTGGCCTTAAAGTGGCCACTGTAAACACTAAAAGCAATGTAAAATTCAGATCAGTGAATCAAAAAGAAATCTAGAGAAATAATTCTTTCTGGATCACACTTTTATCACAATAAATGACATGCTCTTAAACACAAGTGCAATAGCTCTACATAGGAAACAGCAAGAAGGCACAGCACAGAAGGGGCAGAGCAAACCAGCCATCAGCCCTGTGCCAGCACCCCACCAACAGCATGCACGGCCAGCTGGCAGACATCTCTCCACCAGCTGAGCGCTGGTGAACAAGGAGAGAGAAGCAGATAAGCAACATATTGCGCCAGCTTGGGAGTTAGATCCCTAAATCTTGCAGTAACTTCTTACTGAGGACAGACACAATAGTAGCATATGCAAGTTTTCAAGTAAAGGCCAGTGGGCGAATTATCACTGCAGAGAAGGAAAGGCTGAACCTTCACGAAAGCACAGGAACCACCTGCCTGCATTCTCTGGCAGATGGCAATAAATGGTGCCTTCACTCACAAGCCCCTCCCCCCACTCCAGCCCCCAGCCCCCATCACTGTTCATCACTCACATGTGAGCAGAGAAGCTGCAGAAAACATTCCAGACACACAGAACCTAAGCCCCCCTGGTCTGTGGGTACCTGGCAGGAAGCAGTGTTCCTGGCAGAGCATTACACAGAGGCTGCCAGCATTTGTCTTAGCCCCAGCCCAGGCTCAAAGTGCTTGGTCCAGGTCCCCAGAGTGGGCTGAGGCAAAACTACCATGGGGAGGACGAGGAAGGGATTTGAGAGATACATACGAAAGACAGAGGATCCAGCCAGGCTTCCAACCTTCCGCACGTCATTATCTAAGGACAGAAGGATGCAACGGGTTTCAGAGGCAATTCGGAAAACACAGCTTCTTATAGGAATCTTCCCTCTTCCATTCCACCCCCAAGATCAATTAACTCTGTAAAAACCAGGCGATCAAATGGAAGGGGAGGCAACAAGTGTAAAAAGCAACAAACAAACAAACTTGTCTTTTCATACTGAAATATACCACTCTCCATCCTTAACACTTTATAATGTGATTGCTTTTTCCAATTTAATTTTCTCTCACTTATTTTTTAAAGCACAAACTAACTCAATGAAAAGTGATGTTTGTGCCTATTTTGCAGAAGAAACTAATGCCAAGGAAGTTAAATTGCTTGTCCAGGGTAACAGGAGTCAAAAGAAAAGTCAAAAATGGAGTCAAGGCCGGGCGCTGTGGCTCACGCCTGTAATCCTAGCTCTTGGGAGGCCGAGGCGGGCGGATTGCTCAAGGTCAGGAGTTCAAAACCAGCCTGAGCGAGACCCCGTCTCTACTATAAATAGAAAGAAATTAATTGGACAACTGATATATATATAAAAAAATTAGCCGGGCATGGTGGCGCATGCCTGTAGTCCCAGCTACTCGGGAGGCTGAGGCTGGAGGATCGCTTGAGCCCAGGAGTTTGAGGTTGCTGTGAGCTAGGCTGACGCCACAGCACTCACTCTAGCCTGGACAACAAAGCGAGACTCTGTCTCAAAAAAAAAAAAAATGGAGTCAAGACTTGAGCCTATGAAAAAAAAAAAAAAAAAAAAAAAAAAAAAAAAAAGACTTGAGCCTAGATGTTTTTTTCTATAATATCCCACTGATTCCCCAATAAACAAACGAAAACTGGAATACCTGAGCACGCAGAGGTCATGATGGCTGGGACCCCATAGTAGGTGAAGGCTCCATTCTCGAAGCGAAGGCCTTCCTTACCGACCTCCACTTCCACTTTACCCTGGAGAAAGAAGGAAGTGTACTAACTGTATATGAACATTCCAGTTATGTTACTGACTACAACCCTCAGCACTTCTGCTTGGATAACAAGTGGACTCATGTTCTTATCACAGAAGGCTATTAATTCTGTCCAGGTTTATGTTTTAGAAATAGCACCTCTAACTTTGGTAGATCTTTGCAGTAAACTCATTGCTTCATTGTTCATAAAGCAGCATCTAGTCATGGATAACCAAGCTCTCCTTGCTACCACAATGGCCTTCCCTGATGCAAGTCCAAGTACCAGCTCACCCAGGGCCTGGTAAACCTTCCCACTGGTTTAGTCTAAGGTTAGACCATTTCTAGGTTGGGTTGAGTTAAAATCTAATTCTGGGTGAAGCTTGCTTAATTCATCACCAATAACAATGACAGCTAATGGGTGGTGTATCATGTATGTCTATGGACCTGACACTATGTTATGTGTACTGCATGGATTCTCATGTAATCAGCCCCACAACCCCATGAGGTCCACACCATTCTTATCCCTGGTTTACAGAGAAATCAATTTTGAGGCTCTGAGAGGTTAAATAACTTGGTCTAGGTTATTTAGGAAAGGGCAACACTGGAATTTTAAAGCTAGATCTTTCTAATTTCTGAACCTTGCTGCTACATTTTATTCTCTCATCTTACTTGAAAACTGTTAAATTTGTATTAAGCACAAGAAAGTAGACTGTATGTGTTCATTATGCTATAGAAACAATGTAACAGGAAACTTCTCAATTTCCAACAGCGAAGAATGTGACTCGGTTTCTGGAGAAGAAAGGTCATTTTATTGAGGTCCTTTGCAAGAATATATGTGAGGCAAATTGTAATGTAAAAGCAGAGAGGCTGGAGGTGGACTGTGACAAAGACCATTTCTAGATTAATGTGAGCTTAATCAAGATTTTAAAATAATCACTGCATTCAGGGGCGTTAGATTCTGTTGGGAAGATATAGGGAAGCAGTGATGGAGCCAATGGTGGAGCCAGGACAGGATACCAGCAGTGTTACAAGCTGGAACCACACCTGACACTGATTTAAGACAGGCCTATCCAGGCACCCGGGGCAGAAGGTTATCGTACTTATGTGAGTACTGGGAAGATGCTGCACTTCTTTCACTCAGTCATCTTTTCCCCTTCCTGGTCCTCTTAAGGGGAAGACGATTCCAGGGACTGCAAAGGCTGAAATGCAGCAGAGAGAATGAATGTGTCCCACATGCCTCCAGAAAGCACAGCCAGGCGTTTAAACAAGAATTGTCCACAGTTTAGGAGGGAGTGGGTAGCTTCATTTCAGGGGGATGTTCAAGTAGAGACAAGGAAGTTATTACCTACAAGGATTGCCCTACAATTTATTACCTACAATCCTTGCCCTATAAGGATTCTGTAGGGCAGTAGTTTTGGAAGTTCACAAGCAGAACCCCTCTACTGGAGAGGGATTCACCCCACCCCAAACATAGCTGAGCAGTCTGACTAAATGCCATCAAAGATTCCCCAGTCTTCCACGTCTAGGCCCCTCCTATGGGTTATGCACAAATGCCCACCCCAACTGGCCTTGTTCCCAAAGCAGCCAAGTTTTGGAACCTGGCGCTGAGGGAGGCATGGCGTTCCTCTTCACCTGGACATGCCCTTGTCTCACTCCTGCAAGTTCCCTGGCTTTCCTACTCACCTGCAGAAGCAGCATAAAATAGTCCACAGGGCGGTTGCGCTGGTAGAGGTAGTGTTCTGGGGCCTTCTTATTCTTCTCATCGAACTTCAGTTCCTGGATCACGTTGGGATGTTTCAGGAGCCGGAGCAGGATCTTCTCCGAAAGGTACAGAGACTTAAAGGGCTCCACTTCTAGGGGAGGGTGGGAGGCAGGGAGGAATCAACACCCCCCAGGTCCCACCCGTGCCAGCAGCGGCAGCTGGAGGGAGTCAGAGCTGGCACAGCTAGCCCATTCACGCTCCTGGGCACCTGGCTGGCAGGGCTTCTGTGGTCCTTCAGATGGGGGATCCTAAACATAAGTGTGCATCTCAGGGCCTTCCTCGTGCCCTCTGGGGGGATGTGTCTCTGCAATGGCATCTCAGGAGAAACAGGTCACCATTTTAGAAATGTCAGTTTTGTTATTAATTTTCTCTTTGATTTATTTTGATTTATTTAAAATTGGGCATGGATACTAATCCATGTCAACAACAAAGGCTTAAAGGCTATAATCCAATGAAACACAGAGAATTTAATCTGGCTTATTTGTATGATGTATATCTACTCAATGAAATGAAATCCCAAGTTAATAGAGACAGGTAATTATTTAAGTAAGTTGTTAATAATGTGAAGCATCATATTTACATATTAACAGATATTATCACATACATTAAATGTTATACCAAACAGATACAGCTGCTTTGCTCTGGGAACTCAGACAGCCAGTAGTTAAAAGAAATCTGTATTCAGAACCTAGATAACATGTTGAAAATTCTACTTTAAAGAAGCTCCAACTTAAAATTTTCTACTTTTTAGCACCTAGAACAGTGCTAGTTCTCATTATATACTTAATAAATATATGACAGATTAATTATTGATGTTAATGATGGATATGATCACTCTAGGTCAGCACATTAACTAGGCATGGAGGTCAGTGGGTTCAAAGACAAACCTTATCTTCTTCATAAGAAGGAATTTATCTTCAGATTCTCTCCCCGTTTCTGCTTTCTAAAGACCCCAAGATTCATAATCCACTTCTGTATTTTAAGAATTCATAGCTCACAGGCCTGTATGATCTCTGGAGGGTGCTGGGCCCCAGAGTCTTGCTGCTGGGTTGGACAAAGCCTTTCCTTCCCCCACAATTACTCTGGGGTACCCCAACTCTAACAGGACAGGGGATGGCCTCAGGCTCTAGTCAAGAAGCATGCGAACAAAGAGAAAAGTGCAGCAGTAGTTTCTTTAGCTCTTTTATCTGTAGAAGGGAGAGTTGGATTGTACTCACTTCCTCCCTTGGAAGATCAGGCATGAACTTCTCAATGTGACAGTAGGTGGCATCTGTTACTCTATCTAAGGCAACCTCCTTCCTAGAAGAGTGGTTCTCAGTCCCTGTTGCATATTGGAATTAGGTTGAAAGGTATGAACAATCATTGCTACCTGGGTCCCACTCTAGAGATTCTGCTTTAGCTACTCTGGGGTGGAGACTCGGATGGGCAGAGCCCTACCTGTAGCCATGAAGCGGTGCGTGGCCAGCAGAAGCTGTGGTGAGATCTTTACCCGCATCTCCGTGTCGGAAAGCTTAAACAAGGAGAAGTCATGCCGCTTCCTTTCCCGGTGTGGGACCCTCTGCTTTTTCCGATTGTCGGCTGCAGGGTCACAAGGGACAGATAGCAGCTCTCTCAGAATCACTGTTGGTCTTTGGAGGCTTTCCCAGAGCAACATTGACAGATAAATCCTTTGGGAGCCTACACATTTCTGCAGTGTCAACTCTAGATGACATTACAACACCTCTTTCCCATGGAGTGGAAGAATGTTGGTAAGGGACAGGCAGTGGGAGATCGCCATCATCATCTATGTGTTATTGACACTTAACTGGAGTATAGAGGAAAAGGGGGAAAGATAGCTCAGGACACCCAAATCCAGGATTCTGGGGCTGGCTCTCCTACTTAGTGGCTGTACAAGCTCTCTAAGGATCAGAGCTTTTGTTTGCTTTAGCCTATACAAGGAAGTTAATAATATTTAATAATTCTACTCATCTTGTGCAGTTATTATGACACTCTAACCAGAAACTACCTGTGAAAGTGGTTTTATAAAGTCATACAAACTTGAGGGACTTGCATTCTTAGCATTAAGAATGTTGGTGGGGCCCAGGGATTTCTGCCTCTGTCCCCCTCCATTCCCTAGAACTGGGCTCACCTGGTCTCCTCCTGCTGCTTTAAACCAGGCTCTGAGTGGTTCCCGGGGCATGCCAGCCAAGGCTGGAGGGTGGTTACCACCTCATACCACTCACAATTCTCCTGCTTCAACCCCAGCCCCTCCACTGGGAATCAGGGGAAATACAGGGAAGAGGAAAGGAGAAGAAATAGGAATGGACCTATAATCTATAAAAGTGGGTTCTCTTGGTGGGGGCCTCAGACAGAGAGGGCCTGGAACCCCCCAAGAGCCTATGTATTGGACATGTGATTATTGGTTGAGAAAATTTGCTTTTTCATTATATCTATCTATCTATCTATCTATCTATCTATCTATCTATCTATCTATTATATATATCTATATTATATATAGATATAATTTTTTCTTTTTTGGTGGGGGTAACGTTTTCTTTGGTCATTTCTCTTTTGTTATCTCTGAGTTTTGAGTAAAATTTTGAAACTGCTAGCCTAGCTCATCTGCACTAAGGGAAACAGGGAAAGGGATTTAAGTTTTCTCCAAACTTGGTCTGGAGAAAAACAGGGCAGATGGGACTTCTAGTGCAGGCAGGAATGATAGGGAACGAAACCCCTGGAGCAGGGAAATCAGACCCCAGGATCCGGCTCCCTGGTAAGCTCCCTCTCCTTTTGGAGCTCATGTCTGCCAGACCCTTTAGGTTTCCTTCTACAAAGGGAAGAACACTCTTCCACCCACGCAGCTCTTTTGTGGCCTGCCTCTGACTCAGCCTCCACAGTCACCCTTGCTTGGACACCCCTTTTGCTCAAGTTGCAACAGTGGGGAGATCCAACCCAGGCGAACGGATCATGTAAGAAGCCAGGGTTAGGCAAGAAGGAAACACAGTACTCCTGGCTCCTTGCCCTTTTCACAGATCTTAGAGAATCCCGCCAGCAGCTTATTGAAGGGGTAGAAAATCCCTCCTGCAGAAAGAGGACCACTCAGCAAGAGAGTAGCAAATATGGGGATAGGACCCAGATCTTTTGTTCTCACTAGTGAGCAACTCTCTAATCTGTGTGATATGTTTGCCTAAATATCCCCCCTCTCTCCCATCAGAATGACACTTAACATTTCATCATTAGGTAATCATTCCTCTGATCTCCCCTTCATTCCTTTGATTTTAATGGTAGGTGTTTGGAGCATGAAGGTTGTACAAACAAGTGCTCTGGGAGGAGCTCACTCATTTAGACTACTGTCAGCCACGAACCCCTTAGTGTGAATGTCTTTTTTTTTTTTTTCCTGCCCCACCTTCCTCAGAATGTCTTCACTGGTTATCCACTGAAATGCATGAGAAATTTAAAGCAAGAGTGGTGGACAGAAGCAGGGGAGGGAGAGGGTGTTTCTGAGCTCCATCACTCAGGCCTGCAGCACAGCAACACCAGGTTCCTGGAGCGGGGGCACTATGACAATCCTGCTAGTTTTGGTCACAGCCTGGCCCACCTTTTAGGCTTGATCTCTTCTTAGTCCAAAGTGAGAACACTCATTCTGCGCCACTCACTGCCTTATGGTATCAAAGCTCTTTTTACCTGGCCATTGTCTAGGAGTCAGTTTCTGAAAGGCTGCTTCTAGCAAACTAAGGACAGAGGCCTAAAATGTGTTATCTGAGGGGAGGAAAAGGGATGACTGCCCCATGAGATGAAATTCTGGGGAGGAAAAACTTCCTGGCCTAGGGACTCCCATGGACTTAGATAACATTCCCATCAAAGAGACAAAGCATACCTTTGTAATGTGTGCAAGCAAAGCTTTGATAAGGTTTAGTAACACAAAGTCACTATCTGCATAAAAAAGCCCATGTTGTTCCTGCGGGGCTTTGAGTAGGAGGGTGAGACAAAGGGAAGGGGGGGGCAGGAACAGGAGCAGGGACCCTGGTGGCAGGTCTAGGGAGAGGGGGAGAATGAGAAACGCAAGGTGGTGTGGCTGAAAGGCACAAGAGGGCAGAGCATGTCTAAGAAGAGTTATTTAAGCTTAGGTTGAGGGTGGGCAATCTCATGACAGTACCCATTGCTCACTGACGTTCTGGGGTCAGTAGACTGTGAATGGAATTCAAGGGGCTGCCAGGGTCTGCATCTAGGTGGACAAAGAGACAGAACAGGAACAACACAGGAGACAGAACCAAGGGAAGAGAGGCCTCTGGGCACCATCCTGGGTATGCTTTTTTTCCTTAAGTCCCTTTTAGGCCAGGAGGTCTCCTTTTCAGTCTTGGCTCAGTTCCTGGGATAAACACTTAGGTAGCATATTCCCAGTGACTTGGGTGATTCTAGCCAGGGTACTTTGCCATGCTAGTACCTGACAGAGGTGGCTGACACACATGAGTGCCCAGGGATTGCCCTGACACTCGTTCTATATGTCAAACTAAGCTGTACCTGGTTCTTGGAGGCAAATAAGATGACCCTGGAGAATGACCTTGGAGAATGGCCAAGGCCACGCACTTACTGTAGAGATCAGTCTCGTCCAGAATCTCCGACTTGATGATCTCCTCTATGATATCCTCCAGAGTGACGATGCCCATCACCTCATAGAAAGGGTCCCCTTCACCCTCATTATTCACCCGCTGGACAATGGCCAGGTGAGATTTTCCTGGAGAACAAACAGAATCACTTAAGTATCTGGGACATTTTCCGAGATCTTTCCTCACAAAATGATGTCTGACCAATCTGAGGACTGAACTCATATCAAAACCTCCTTAAAATATGAAATTCTTATGCAAGCTCTTACAAATGCACACCTTATACTTTAGATCTCTGTTTCTTTCTAGGGAAGTTACTAATATACCCAAAGCCAGTTAAAATTTTTTTCTTTGATCTTTCACATATTAGCAAGTATATATTAGCTGAAGGAGGTTGAATAATCTAATTGAAAGAACAAGAATTTAGAGTTAGAAGAATTGTTAGAAGTCATTCTCCTCCCCTAAACACCACTTCCCCCCTAACTATCCCCGTTACTATCTCTGGGCAAATCATTTAATATCTACTGAATTGCAATCTCTCATCTAGAAGTAGGGAATAATCCCAGTGTAGTGATTTTAAAACATGGCCCCCAAATTCTTTGCTCTACCTCCCAAAGGAGAGGTGTGGTCTACATCCCTTTCCTTGAATCTGGCACACTTGTGACTGCTTCAACCAAAAGACAATGGAAAGTGTCTGTGATGGGACTTTTGAGGCTAGGCCATAAAAGGCAGACAGCTCTGCTGCAAGAACACTGTAGGAAGTCTGACCACTACCCTGAAGTCACCATGGCGGAAAGGCCATCTATAGGTGCTTAAGTGACAGTCCAGGCTGAGCCCAGCCTTCTAGCCATCCCACCAAAGTGCCAGACAGATTAGCAAAGAAACTATCTTGGAAGTGGATCTGCCAGTCTCAGCCGATCCAGCCCTGTCCTTTCCCTCCCCAGCCTTTCAAGGTGTCTCCAATTGCAGCCCCAGACACTGTGAAGCAGACATAAGCCATTGCGCTGTGCCTTTTCAGAATTCCCAACTCACAGAATCTGTGAGCATAATAAAACACTTTTTGTTTTATGCCTCTATGTTTTGGGGTGGTTTGTTAGCAGCAATGGTAACTAGAGCAACCAGCACTCATAAGGTGATTGTAGAGCTCAAAAGACCTAGTGGCTATGTGAAAAGGCTTTGTCAACTATAATGTGTCACAGGCAGATACTTCATTTTTATTGCCCAACAACTGATTAATAATAGTTCACATTTATTGAGCTCTTACTACGTGCCAGGCACCATTCAGAGCACTTTATGTGCATCAATTTATTTAATCCTCATAACAACCACGATGTGAATACTAGTATCCATGTTTTGTAGGTGGAAGAACTGAGGCACAGAGTAGTTAAACAACATGCTTAAAGGGATACAGCCTGTAAGATGCAGAGCTGGACCACAAACCCAGCTAACTAGTTTCAGTCCTAACCTAGGGACTGAAGTCTTATCTAATAGTCCTGCTTCATGTCAGTTTGTTTTCTTCTCCTGTATAGATGCATTTCCTGGTCCTTTTTCTAAAATGAAAATCTGGGTGGTTCGTTTCCTTGGCTAAGAGACATTTAAGGAGAAAATCTGGGGTACTGACTCAGATGTTATTTTTAACAAAAAAAAGAAAAAAGTTCATGCTTTATCAGTGTTACCCTTTATAAGCTCTGGCTTGGTCATTGCCAAAAATATCAGACAAGAGGAGCAGTTTGCCAGAGTCATAATTAACCATTAAAATTTAAACATGAATTTCTGTATTAAATATCTCAAATCACAAGATTGGGATTTTTTTGAACTGAAATGAAATTGGAAAGATGGTATTTGTATCACCCAAGAATGGTCTCCAATTCCCCCTCCCCCCGACTGTCAACCTATTTCTAAACTGGTCTGATCATGTCAGAGCCCTCCTGAAAAACCCTCCATGTCTCCTAAGTGCTTACAGAATCAAGTCCAGTCTCACTCTTTTGGTATCAAGAATGTACAGCGTGGTTCTTCCTGATCTTCCTAACTGTATGCTCTGCTCCATCCTAACCAGTCTATACTCCAGGTGCACCAGGTTACTGTTACTTCCTCAGTTCCCTCCATGTATAGTTTCTAAATCTTTGCTCACACTATTTCCTTCCCCCACCCCATCTCTGCTGGCCCTTCGAGTTCCAGATCAGGTGCTAGCTCTTCAAGAAAGCTCTCCCAGATCCGCCCCATTCTAAACCAACCTTTCCTTGCTTTGTGCTCCTAAATCTTTGATAACTCCATTAGAGCATTTATCAGTTTGCTGCTTCTTATAACTAGTAATGTATGTGTCCTACACTCTATAGACAGTGTTTCTTCCTCAGATCATGAGCTCTTTCAAGACAAAAGATCATAAATTTAAACAGGGTTCCCATTAATATATCAGATAGCTAATCAATGCTGTTTGAACAGAAGACTAAATTAAAACTCATAGTTTGTACAATAGATGATATCAAAACCAGATACTAAAATGCTTGGGGTTTTTTTGATAAAATACTATGTGTTTAAATTAAAATTTAAACTCTATGTCAGTCATTCTAAAATTACCCTCTTTGAAACCACTGCCTCCTACCCAACTGGACTGAAGTACTTTGAAGCTTAAATTAGGTTATGTTAATTGTTAAAATGTGCTCAATTTCAAGTTTTTCATTTCCAACACATTTTTCTTAACTTATGACACCTGTTCTCACTTTTCTGCTAACATGTGCTAGCAGATGACAAAACAAATGACTAGTATAATGGAAAAACTTGGAAAAGTGATTTCTTAAAGTTGTTTTCTATAATTGGTAATTTTTTTATAACATGGAGCCTAAAATATGTATAATACAGCTATACTTCCTACCACTGAAATAATTAGTTCAGATGATGGAATTAAGTAAGTTAACATTAATATTGTAAAATATCAAAAACTTTAAAAGCCACCATTGTTCTGTACTTTAAAAGTTCGATTTGAGGATGCACTGTGTTATCAACAGGGAATAGAAATTTAAAGACCTAATTATACAATATTCAAGACAATGTTATAGAAATTTAAAGACCTAATTATACAATATTCAAGACAATGTACTTATGTAATCTATTTACAAACATTTTATAATTTATTAAGCCTCTAAGATTCCCTCTAAAACCTGTAGAGATCTTCTATAAACAAATGAAGGCAGCTATCCTTTCTTAGGTACAGACTGGGACAGGGATCATCATATAATCCAACCCTGTTCTAAGCAACATTCAAAGGGATGAGAGAACCAGCTGTTCCCATGACACACACAGCTGAGTTTCTTCCTTTATCAAAAAGGTTGGACTTTCCTTAAAATCTGTACCCCCACAATATGCCGAAATAAAAAAAAAAAAAAAGGTTGGACTTTAAGAGCCCTATGGCTGCACCCATCCTCTTCCTGGGTTCCAAAGGTATTGAGGGTGGCCCCAAGTGAAGCTAATCTTTAGACACGGAAACATTAGTTAGTCACTCCTCCTCTCTCCTCCCTCCCCCGCCCCTGCTGTAGCATTTTGTAATACCAAAAATAGTAGACATTATTATTATTAAAGCTACCATTTGCTACACACACTCTAGGGGCCAGGCACAGACAGTGTCAGGCGCTGTACACACATTATTTCACCCTGTTCTTGTTTTCTATTTATATGTGACCCCCTCACTATGAGGTAAGTTCCCTGAGGGCAACAGCTCTGTCCTACTTACCTCTGTTTCCCCAGAATCTAGAATAGCACCTGGTACAACATCATCATTAAGGAAATACAACTTAAAATCTTAAAACCCATAAAAAGATAATTTTTTATGTAAGAGTGAAATCTATAAAACTCTTGGAAGAAAACACAAGAATAAATCTTTATGACCTTAGAGTAGGCAATGGTTTCTTAGGACACCAAAAGCACAATCAAAGAAAAAAAAATAGATTGGACTTTACCAAAATTAGAAATGTTTATGCGTCAAAGGACGTCATTGAGAACGAAAACAGACAACTCACAGAATAGGAGAAGACATTTGCAAATCATCAGATAAAGGGCTCGCATCCAGAATATGTAAAGAAATATTGCAACTCATAAAAATACAACTCAATTAAAAAGTGAGCAAAGGATTCAAATAGATATTTCTCCAAGGAAAATATACAAGTAGTCAATAAACATATCAAAAGATGCTTAACCAGGAGTTTGAGGTTGCTATGAGCTAGGCTGACACCACGACACTCACTCTAGCCTGGGCAACAAAGCGAGACTGTCTCAAAAAAAAAAAAAAGATGCTTAATATCGTCATCATCAGGGAAATTCAAATCAAGATGCCAATGAGATACCACTTTATAACCACTACGATGGCTATAACGAAAGACAGGTAATAACAAATGTTGGTAAGGATGTGAAAAATTAAAATCCTCAGACATTGCTAGTGGGATTGTAAAATGATTCACCTACTTGGGAAAACAGTCTGGCAGTTTTTCAAAATGTTAAACGTTAAATGATCATATGACCCATCAATTTAACTCCCAGAAAAATGAAAACATATGCCCATACAAAAATTTGTGCACAAATGTTCAGAGCAGCAATATTCCTAATAGGCAAAAAGTAGAAATAATCTAAATGTTTACAAACAAATAAACAAAATGTAGCATATCAATACAATGGAATATTACCCTGCCATAAAAAAGAATGACGCATATGCTACAACATGGATGACCTTTGAAAGCATTAGTGAAAGAAGCCAGACACAAAAGGCCACATGTATGATTCCACTTATGTGAGATTTCCAGAATAAACTAACCTACAGAGGAAGAAAGTAGATTCATGGTTGCTAGCAGCTGGGAAAGGAGGATGTGGGACTGACTGTTGTAGGCCAGGGTTCCTTTGTGAGTGATGAAATGTTCTGGAATTAGATAGTAGGGATGCTTTCACATCTCCGAATATATTAAAACCCATTAATTTGTGCACTTTAAAAGGTTGAATTTTATGGTATGTGAATTTTGTCTCAATGAAGCTGTTATTTTTTTTTAAAGCCAATTAAAAAAACATGCCTGAATGAGCAGGAAATTGGTAGAGCTGAAAGTTATAACCTATACACAGGTAGTAAAAGTAGAGACTGCTTTATAAAAGG